TATATATATATATATATATATATCTTTAAAATATCTGTAAAACTACTATTTTTTAATTTTATTTTATTTTTTTTGTAAAAATGTGATCCAAATAAATGAAATTACTATTTTTATCTTATTTAGTAATAATAAAATTGATTCCACTTTATAATAGAGAATGACAATTTTACTCTGTTGCAAAATAATCTCAATTTACATTATTATACCTAAAATTGAAAAATTTCTTATATTTAAAACACTAACTGTTGCTTACAGAAGAATACTACATATTAAAATAAACTTTTTTAATATATTTTTTATAAAAAACTTTTATTGAAAGAGATGTACATATTGCACTCGTTCTCTATGTATAAATAAAAATCTAAAGAAAATCTATAGAAAAAAAATGTGCTAATACAAATAAAAAGAAAGATTATAACAATCATTTTCATAGAATTCTATAAATTAAAGTGAATACTCTCAAAAAGCTTAGGAAAATATATATACAATCACAGAGGAGATTAATTAACCTCTTATAGTAGGTAAATGGTCAAAATTTTGCTGATGTATAGAGGAGCTCTTCGGTCGATTTTCACTTTGACTATGAACAGAAGGTCCAGCCTTGGGTAGTTGGGGTAACACCATTTGACTATAATTAGTATTCTGGAAGTACGATAATGTATAATTGTGTGATCATATATATGTTCTTAGATTATTCTTGTTGGATAGAAATAGTATACTGTTGCAGTTTTGCTTGAACTATTTTCTAATGTTTCGCCATTGTTATTTGATCGTTAAACTTACTCTAGAACGTTCTCGATACTTTTTGAGTTTTTCGAACTCTTCCGTCTCGACATCCGGCATTTTAAAATGAAAATTATCAAAATAAGAATGCCGCAACAATTGTTCACACGTCCACCTTTCATTTGGATCTTTGTCTAAGCACTTCTTCAGGAAATCCATCTGTCAACAAAAAATTTATGTCTGTAATATTTATAATTATTACGGCGATAGCTCCAAAAATGTATATATTTTTTCGTTTGGTTGCATTCTGCGTTTTAAATTGTAATCAAAGCAAATTTGTTAATATTACCTGCAAAGTACTGCCATTTCCACGGGGTAGAGCGTCTTCAAGCGGCGTAAGTGTTTGCGGAGTTGGAAGAGTGATACCGGTAAAGAATTCATTCTGTTGAAAGATAGCCATGTGTCTCGGTAAAAGGTCACCTAGCGTTCTTCTTATTAAATACAATTGATCCACATCAGATTTTCCTGGCCACAAGGCTTCGCCCCGTATTAATTCAGCAAACACACAACCGATTGCCCATACATCGACCGGAGTGCCGTATTGTGTGTCTCCGACCTGTTCCGAAAAATCGATAGTTAATCCATTGTCCATCATAATTCTACCGTAATTCGATAGAGAAAATTTTCCAAATTTTATTAACATTTAAAATTGAAAATCTGCACGAAAATTTTGTTTTAAACTTTAAATAACTAAGCAACATACATGTATATTTAAACAAACATAAATTATAAAATTTGAATTTACAAAGACAAGCTTATCTTTGTAAAATACGTAAAATTTTTTTACAAAATTTACTATTTTGTATTTTAAAAAATTTATAAAATTTTGTATAACATACTATATTCTGTAAAGAAAATGTTAAGAAGACAACAAAAATGAAAAAAAAGATCGATTGCGTTATTATCACAAACACACTGATAAAGATTATTATTACGATTGATAAAGTGAGCAGCACGCTGAAGAAATATTCTATTATAATGACGCATAGCACATGCGTCATTATAATAGAACTATTATTTTTTTTTTTATAAAATCCGAAAAACTTGACAATGTGCATATTCGGATATTTACCAGCAATTCAGGTGCTCTGTACCATCTGGTTGCGACATACTCCGTATAGTTCTCACCGGGACTCAGCATACGTGCAAATCCAAAATCACATAATTTTACCACGCCTTCGGAGGTGATGAGAATGTTTTCTGGTTTCACGTCTCTGTGAACGCATCCAAGACGATGGCAATAGGCTACACCTTGCAGAATTTGCCAGGTAATCTGTCTCGTTGTGAGATCTGGGCAACCGCTAGGATACTTTTCCATTTCGTTCAGAAGAGTGTTTTCACAATATTCGAATACTAAATGTAATTTTCTCTTGCGTCTGAAGACTTCCAGAAGATTGACCAAGTTTGGATGCTTGAGATTCTATCGAGGGAAAATATTAATTTCTAAATTCTTGATTTTAATTACGTTATAGTTATTATTATTTCTATAAAAGAATTGCGAAAAACGATCGGGACGATTATTTCGTATATTTTTATGGCGTCTTCCTGGCACAATTCATCTTTTCTCTTTTACTTTCGAAATTATCTCTTACATCTAATCATTGTAATCCTAAAATTGTATTTATAATTTCGTAGCGTTTTATGAGTAAAGTACTGCAAAAAAATTTTAGCATACTATTTATTTTCAAGAGATATTCTTGTAATGCAGTATACTCTTGTACCTAAACAGGGAATAGCCTTGAAGCAAAATGTCAAAACGTGGCGAGTGAGGGGGCTTATTTGAATGCGCATACGTTTGGTAGTGAACCCGCTGATTGTAACGATAATATTAGGTCGGTAAGACCGTAACACGCTAAGATATTGACCGCTGCCCGGTATTGACCGTTGGCTATTTCTCGCAGCCATTATTGCACTTGTGCGAGCTTCTTATCGTGTAAATAAGAACGTCACTTGTCTTACTTATTATTACGAATACCTACTACTTCAATTCTACCCTAAACAACGTTTGAAGAACGATAGAAGAAATTTTATCAAGTATAAATCTCTAATTCTATTTGTAAATTTTATTTCTACAATCAAATGTGTGTGTGTGTGTGTGTGTGTGTGTATCTTAAAATAAAAATAGGAATTTATAGGAAAAAAAATGAAGAATTTACGAATGTATTTAATATTTATTAAGGCTCTTAGGAGGCCAAAATTATCGCACCCTCATCGTCCTAGTGGGTGGGAACTAGTGGTCGCGTCAACGTATACGTTCCGGAGGTCATTCACCTTCAAGAATGCGAGACCCTCGGCAAACTTGGTTATTCCGCAGATCGATCGAATCGGAAAACTTCATGTCAGCGATTCTTATGATCTTTTTCTTTTATACTTGTAATAAAAATTGTTCACAACATATTCAACAAAGATTATGCTTTTCGTAATACTTTCGCTAGTTTGAAAAGGGTAATAACTTCAAACAAAACGTTTTATTTTTGACAATTGAGAAAAAATGGAAAAACTGACCTTTAAAAGACGTATCTCTCGCAATGCAATTTTACGTATTAGGGGATCATCCTCGGTCTGTTGAAATTTCTTTACAGCCACCAATTTTCCAGTTTGCCGGTCCCTACACTGGAAGACGACACCATAGCTACCCTCGCCGAGACGCGCCAGACGCTCATAACGCTCCATGGCTTTGCTCGGTGCCCGAGACCTGTGCAAAATCATTTTTCTCGATGTGAGTAGTGGATTTCAATAAAATTTGACACTGGAAATTTTTCTGGACACAGAAAAATAAATTATATCAAGCCGATAATTTGTAAAATCCAATTTAAACGAAATATTCTATTAAACTTTGCAATCACATCAAAATAGTCTAATGTTGAATCAGCGATTTCTGAAATTATTGGCGAAAATAATATTCGAACAACACGTATATGTATAAGTTTTATCACTTATTCGCTCTATAAAATAGTTGTATAACGTATCGTACATATTTTTTGTGTTATTAAAAGTATTAACTCAAACAATTTAGTCGTCGTAATTGCATCGAAATATTTTCGAAAATTAGAAAATTAGAATTTCTTTAAACCTTTGTGTTTAAGAAAATGTTCAGTCTTTTTTACTAAACAATCGCGCGCGCGTTAAGGTCGAATATCGATAGAAATTGCTATTTTTGGAAACGCAGAGCACTAATTCGACGTCCAATTGTCTAATTGTTGAATACCCACTTTTTATATTTGGCAAGGCATGGTAACGACGTCAATTGTTGCGTAAAGAGCATAGTATCGCGATGTACGGTACCGGCTGGACTGTCTCTATTCCAACGGATGACCAAGGGTCAAGCTACCCCACGAGTTTTGCTTTATTCGAATTCACGTTTAGCGCAGGCGTAGGTGGAGTGGTCAACTAACGATTGCAATACCGAACCGAAATAATTTCTAAAGTTGAGCAAGTACCTCTAAAACGCGATATATATCGATATTTCGGTTTTCACCGATATTGCGATCGCTACTCAATCAAACAGTCTATCAGAAGGCTAATAAAAATTGAATGGGGCCATATATAACATATCATCGTATAATCAGAATCGAGATTGCTGCAAGAATGAGAAATTCCATGAAAAATGATAAGGAATTGTTCGATGAAATGTGTTCTTTAACATTTATAACACTCAACTAGATTGTGAATACGATATTGACCAGTACAAATTATTTCACAAAATAGTACGATCGTAAGATTATGTTATTTCATCAAATACACATCTACTATTATTGAATATATCTACTTTTTATGATTATTGGATTATTTAATTCTGGAGAGTTGGCCGAATTAAGTCTCTTACCACTGTGGTATGCATTGTCGATAATTTACAAATCTCACGTCGTTCATTGTATCGATACTCTCGCACGCATACGTGACATAATTTCGTATGTTATCAATTTTTTAAAAGTTAATTGCCGCATCCGGATGTCTTGAATGTAAAACAGGATAGAGAACTTTGACCAGGTCCAATCAGGTTAGGTGTATGTTAGAGACGGACACGAAAAATTATTAAAACAGGTTTTACGTAGCTATGTTCACAAATATCCTTTAAAGATTGCATTTATATTATAAAGAATTTTAATTGAAACATTACAATTGTTACTTTATAAAGAGAGATCTCATATTAATATACATATATTGAAATCGTTATACATAGATAGTCTTTATTTATCAGATTGATTTTGCCTAGTTAAAAAGTGCGTTCCATTTTTGGAATATTATAACAATCACATAAAATTATTTAACATATTAGAGAAAATATAGAATTTATTTTTTTTTTAGTTTATTATTTTTAAGAAAAAAGCTTTGAGCATGCAAAATCAAAATATAATATCCCAGACAGCACAGAGTTCAAAAATTTAAAAATTCAGTCGTATATCAATTTTGAGTTAATTTTTAAATGCAAAAGAAGTTTTTTTTCTAGAAGTTCTGAAAAAAAATGTTTTTACACCTGAAAATGAAACTTACAATTAGAATTGATGACATGACTCATGAATGTATACGAATGAAATCTTTTTGAACTCTGTGCTATCTCAGATATATGTTTTGATGAAATCATATCCTATGGAGCATTTGCGTATAATATATCATTATTTTTCTGAAAAACTTTAATATCTAATTTGGGCATTAAATAGTAAATAAAAAAATTTAAAGAAAGATTACTCATTAACAATAATTATTTATTATAAAAAATAATTACGTGGATAAAAAAATAATTTTATCCACGTAATGATAAAATCTTCGTTCAAAAAAATGTGACATTAATGGATGGCCCTTATTGGATCATTTTCTTTACAAGTTGTCATATAATTCTATAATAAGATAATATAATTTTAATGATTCATATGCGATTTAATCAAAATTCCGTGCTAATATGGACTACGAGAAAAAAATGAATGAGTAAAATAATGATTTCTTATCTGTATAACTTTTCATAATTATTCTGGCCTCAATTCTCCAACTTAATTGAAGATTCGATTAAAGAATTCGATTTGCCGAACAACATCCGATGGGCACAATTGCAGGAACAGAACAGATTGTGGGATAAGAAACGCAGAAACAATTACGTACAAAAATCCAAGAATGGAGTTCATGAAGTACTCTTGTCAGGTCACCCTCGTTGGCGAACATACCGGACAGTACTAATAGTATACGTTGAAGAAAGCAACGGCTTTACGTTATTGTTGAACTCTTGATTATTGACAATCGATATTACGTTCCCTGGGTGCGTCTATATAGTCTGTGACCGTGAAAGAGGTCAAAATGTTCCCAACTGTTGGACGGACGCTATAGTGAGTGTTACGCGATACAAGATGCGAAAATATAGAGTTGTGACACTTTTAGACAATATGTTCGCCTAGCTTACTGCACGTATTTTTCGTGATTATGATGGATGATAAGAAACGTAAATGTCATTCGCTATTAGCCGTCAAGGTTCAATCTCCCGCATTCTATATTTGTCCTTAACATTTTATGACGTCGATAATATCGATATGTAATACGACATTACTCCGTTTAAGATTTCCATAAGCTATAATACAGTTTACTGAACATAAAAATAGTAAGATGAATGTTTCATGAAATTTTTTTTATTAGTTTTAATGAAAAGCTCTCTGTGAGAAATATCTTGAAAATAATCCGCTGATAACATATAAAGAACTCTACATGAAACCATAATAAATATTTTAAATAATGTATGTACAAAGATTATTGCTAATACGCAATTCGTATGGGAAAACATATATATTAATAAAATCCGCACCAAATGTTACATAAACTTTATATACATCAAGATATATATATGTATATATATATATATATATATACAATGAGAGATTACTTAATTTCTTGGATCTTTTCGAAAAATTTTTTCTGGGCTTTAAAAAAAGGAATAGACGATTAGACGATTAGTTCTTGGAACGAATGGAATAAATATCAGAAAGCCAAAATCGTATAAGTTTACACAAAGACGTGTCTGTTGAAAAAAATAGCATATACTAAAAAAACTCGCGAAACAATAGATACTTAATTATTGAAAGATACATTCAAAAGGATAATTTATTAATTAATTCGAGCAGCGTATGTTTATTGCGTGTTTAACGATGTTGCTGCATCGATGGTCAGTGTTTACCTCCTTGGTAGCAACGGTAGCGTGCTACCGAATAGCCAGAGCTTCCTATCTTGAAGCCATTTGTCCATTCGCAGGCTTCTCACAGAATTTTCACGCTACGAATGAAATATTCATGTTGCATCTCGACGAACACCGTAGCGACCATCGTGAATTTATTTCGGCGTGTCGACATTGTTGACATGGCCTTTTGCCGAAGCGATTTTTCCAATGGTGGCACTAGGAAACGGATTTTCACTGTACACGCGATTGTTCTTTTGCCTAAAACCACGTCAACCGACCGATCGATAACCCTTTGGGCTTTCAGTACCTACCTCACCCGCTTTCGCTAATTTGATTGATTCTTAAATAAGCCAGAAACAAGTTCTAAGGTTTAAGAAAGCACTAAATTTCAAAATATATTTTATTACTTATGAATAATCTATATGTATATATTATATTTCTATAATCTATATAATTATTCTGTAAATAAATAATTTATAACCTTTCATATGCACGTAAATGTAAAACTATATATTAAAATTACATAAACATATAATATATACTAGAATTATATTACTACAGATTATAGAATTTTCATTAAAATTTCTAATTAAAGAAATTACACTTTATAGTTTTATATCAAATTTTTGCAGGCAGGTACAAGGAAGAAAATATGTTATAACATAATTAATTTTGATTTATTTATATTTTTATATGGAATAATTATTTTGCATAACTAGGGAACACACAGAATATAAGTCAGATATATATTTTATTACATAAATTCGTCATTTATAACTTTGTATATCATATGGCAACAAATTCTTTTCTTATAATACAATACTAAATTTTAGGACAAGCGCAGCATTCATCAGGATAAAGCGGCGCTCTAATTCTTGTTCTCTTTCTCCCAATAAATCGATTGCAGAAAATTTACATACTACAATTATTCAGGTACGAAATTATAATCATTTTTACTTATATATAAATATATAAATATATATATATATATATATATATATATATATGTATATATAGGTAATGCTATACAAATCAATTTAACATCAATATAGACAATTTGATTTCTAATTTATCTATAAATTTTGTCTGGCAGTTTTAATATATATTTCTTATATTATACTTTTGTGCGCGCGCGAGAAGCAAATTTATTCCCATTAGGAAAAATACTTGATTTAAGAAAAAAGTATATATCCAGACTTTTGTAGAGTTTTTTAGATTTATCAGCAATAGAAAAGTATCTTTATAAAAGAACAAAGCAATACACCAGTTATTCTCTATATGTTTCACATTTTTTAAAAACATCAAATCTGTTGCGCTACTTTTCGTAATTAATGTTTTCCTTCTTTAAACGCGAAAATTTTCTTTGCTGTTATAATATTTTTTGTCAAAAATTTTACGTAAAATAATAGAAAATGTCTTTTATCCATGCCTCAGACTATTTTTATATTAATTTAATCGAGTTTTTTTCCAAGAAAGTCTTGGAAAAAATTATTATTTAGACGCTCTTTGCATTCCTTTGTATTGTGCAGGATGATTTGGGTTTTTCAACGTCTTGCGTTTCACCTCGTACAGTGAACGTAACAAAATATCTTTTGGTACGATCCATTTTCTCAGTTGGAAGAGCAATCACTTGTTTTTCCTCTCCGTGTGTCACTTCCACCTAAAATAAGCAGAATGTACAGAAAATGATTTAAAGAATAACATGTGCTCTAATGTGCATAAAACATTGGAGATTAACAAATCATTTATTTTAATTATAAATTAAGATTAACAATTTGTAATTTTATTATTAATTGTAACAACGTTATTGGTTTATAGATTTCTATAAATTTTACGTTAAAAATGATTTATATTATTACCGTCATTTGCCCTCTGCCGCGACTCTCTATTTTCGGAAGATGGTTCACTCGATCTGGGACGCCTCCACCCACTGCAATTATAATCTACATTTACACTGCAGAAACTGATTTTTTTCGAGCTCTACATACATATAGACGACGAAATATTAAAAATTAAGCGATCATTTTAGTAACGATATAATTTACAAAAAAAAGATATATAAGAAGGTTTCCTTTAAATCTTGTATATTCGAATATGTTGATATCTTAAAAGCGACACGTGTTGCATCCAAATGCGATAATATATTAACATACGATAGGTATACACTGGAATAGAGGTGTAAGCGCTGGTTGCATGATGACAACGATGAGTTTTTTGTGTGCATTGCTTAGCTTCGGTACAAAAGTCTGGAGTAGTTGGTCTTCCTTGCAGCCTTCTTAATTGCTCGTACAGAAACGCTTCGAATTGTCTACAATGACGGTTTCGTAGTATTAAATTATAATAATTAATAATAACACTGTAGAAATACCATTGTGCATTACGAGTGTAAATAATCGGAAACCGACGCCTATTTTTGCCTGCTGAACACGAATTCGTTGGCAAAAGTAGATTATCACGTCAAAATTTTAAGAAAAATGAAATTATCGTTTTCGGTCTCTTTGACGTATTTTTCTTAAAATTGTGCCGTGATAGTCAACTTTTGCCAATAGATTTATGTTTAGCAGGCAAAAATACGCCGGAAAAGACTATTCACACTCGTGATGAAAAAAAAAATTAATTTTGTTCCACAGTTTAATTAGTATTAAATATTATTAAACACTCAATAAAAATTATTTAGTCTAATAACCTAAACGTTAATGATCGATCATATTTTGCAACACCAAGAGTAGGTCCAGACATTCCCGATTTATGAAAGGCGTCCACCTGAAAAAGATCACTTTGCAAATTTCACGAAATATATCGATAATAACATTGATAGACAGATTAGAAAGTAGAAACGTTTAATTATTTTTTATGATTTCCATGAAGGAACGTTTTTACATATATTTGCATTACAATTTATCGTGATCGTATAGAGCGAGTCTTACCTGTCTTTTTACTAAAACGTGCTCGTTCGCTCTACCGTGACGAATCTGTAATCTCTTCAGCTCCATTAATTGGAAAAAGATTTTCCTTTCGAGATGATAACGACGCAGACCAATTTGTACATCTCTGGTAATGGTCTCCATATTGAGAGCTTGCTGTTTCGCCGTATTTGGAAAACACCTTACGTTCCGTCTCCGTGGAATTCTCGATACTCTCGGGCTCGGTTCTATTCCACTATCTCTACCTCCGCTGTCGCGACGATGTTTCCTCCACAATCGTTCTCGATGATTGCCGCCGTTCTCAATTGTAACTAAACGGCTGGTAGTTGTTGATTGTACCTAACAATAATTACATTTCATTCGATATTAATGCAATTAATTGAGTTTGTACCGAAAACTTTTTGTAAGTAAAATTAAAAACACAATTAATATTAATTTTTATTATAATTCAGAGATATCTATTACTTTCAAAAAAATTTATGGTATATACTAAACAGTAGTACATATGTTTAAAAATTAAATAAATGCTTTATTGGCAACATACTAAAAGATAGAGTTTAATAGATATAAGTTTTTTAATATACCTGAGGCAAAGAATCGATTCTTGAAGTTCTAGATACACCTAAAGCTGTGCTAGGAGTCTCTTCCTCACTCGTGCTTGGTAAAACTCGCATAACACCAATTTCATTATCTTCTTCATGCTCCGTCTCATGCTCCATATCCTCTCCGAGAGCTTCCCTAATTTCTTTCTCGACCGCTTCGTCTTCATCCCATTCTGGGCTATCTAACACTGCGATTATCGCACTTTGATGCGACGAACGCTCCTCAGAACTTTCAAACAGGTGTGTCTTTGTTGATGCCTTTGAAGAAGACTTTCCAGTCCTCATATTTTTTCCTGTAGATGGTCTTGAGTGCCTCATTTTTGTCGATCTCGCGGGCTTTGGAGAACTCGAAGAACTATCGTCGATATAGCGAAAATCTTTATCTCCTAAAATTTTTATCTGTTAGAGAAATCTTTGTTTGTTGGAAACAATGTATTATTGAAAGTATTATTGTCACAAGCATGAATTTTTTTTATAAGTCACAAGTCGCACGTGTGTGATTGCGTGAAAGAATGTATCATTTACAATGAGTACTTTCGCTATGTAAAAATTATTTTAAAAAATTTTTTGTCCTCGAAATAACGCTTTAAATGCTAATTAAAAATTTAAATTAAAATCCAAATACCGCGCGTTATATTTTTACAATTTTCTAAATATTTTAGGTTTTGATATATTTCAGCGATTTACCTGTTTTAATTTCTGATCGTTCTTTGCCATCTTTTTTAATAGGCTCCGACTTTTTGTCACGTAATGAACCCGTCCTTTCTGGGGAAAGACTTTCTTCCACGTTCAGCGTTGACACTCTCGATTCTGTTGATGATAAATCTGCGGATTTCCCACGCGCGGAATCATCTAAGTATTTGTCGTCGTCTGTTGATCGTTCGGTAAATGCTTCCGTTTTCTGTTTTTCATCCACCTGCATTTTTTCCAAAGATTTGATATCGTCGCGCTTATTCATATCTTTGTGCTCTTTTGATTCGGCTTTATCTTTGGCTGAGATCTCTTCAGTAACTACTTTCGTGGATGTCTGCTTTGTCAAAACCGTATCTTCATTCTTAGTTATTTGTACACTCTCGACATTTTCTTTCAGATCGCTTGCAGTTTGGCGTGCATCGGATTGTTTCGAAGCTTTCGATTCTCCATCATCTAATAAAGTTTTTTTCGCGACAATTTTCTCGTCTCGCTTCGAATCTTCGGAGGCTAATTTTCCAGTCTCCACACTCGAAATATGCTTCATTACAGTCGTATCTTTTTGATCTTCCGAAATTACAGTGCTTTTAATGATTTTATCTCCATCTTTAAAACTACCTTTCTCTTTGTCGACGAGATCTTTAGTAGGACTGGATTTGGTTTCTTGCTTTCCATGCAATGTGCCATCACTCGATATTACACTCTCGAATGTATTTAACCTATCTAAAAGAAAGATTACTATAGCCAATGTTTAACAAACACAAATTTATTAAATATACTAAATTTAATAACGACTAAAACTTTGTTATCAAATTTCCTATATTAAAAATATTTAATTTTATCTTACAAAAAAATTATTACATTCAAATTTTTACCTTGCGTTTTACTATGTGCATCTTCTTTTGCATCCTCCATGCTAATAGGCATTACTATTTTATCCTTTTCATCCTGGACTTCTGAAGAACTAATATCCTTGAAAGTTTCCTTTGTTTCCTCTATCGTCCTTTTTCTCAAAACCCCGTCAGAGCTCGTCTCCTTCGCAATTTCTTGCGTTGATCTCGGAGTGTCAGAAATCTGGTCTTTGTGAACCATCGCTGTGACAATCACTCGCTCTACGGTTTCTTGACTAGTACTATCCGTCGCGTCTCTCCGATATCGAGATTCTATTATCCTCTCGCTGCCACCTTCTTCTTCTTCTTCAGCCGAAGTATGCATCGACTCTTTTATTACGACACTTTTTTCTACCTTGTCCGGCGATTTATCTCGATCTGCGGTATTTTTATCTTTATCGAACGTTCTCGACTTGTTAGATCTCGACATTTTCTTAGAGCTACGTTTGTGCGTTTTGGTCAATTTTGTTTCCTTTGTGCATTCCATAGGTGTCTTCAATTTTTTTCCGGATACAACTTTTTCACACTTTTTTTCCAGTGATTTTTTCACTACGATTACTTCTAAGCTGTCGTCGCTTACGCTTCGATCATCATCTTCTTTTCTTGAGTCATTTTTAATTTCCGTTTCATTGGAGCTTTTGCTTTTGTCCTTTTTTTGCTGTTTTTTTGCGTGCTGCCGATGTTTGGCTACTCCGTTTTCAGTGTCATCGTGAGAATAATCGCAACTATCCGATTCGAACGACGAATCCAAATATTCCTGTTTATGCCTCGTTGATACTCTTCTGCTTCGTTTTTTTTGCAGATTATGTTCATTGATAGTATTATCATATCTATTGATTTATATACAATTTCAAAATTTAACATTTTATGGCAGTGAAATCAATATAAGAGATGTTTAGAATGTAATATACATATAATGCATCTCTCCACAATTATTAACTATTTACATTTAATCACATAATTTTTTTTAAAGTATATTAAAAAGTCGCTCTAACTATTTAAAAGAGAGATCTAAAATTATTCTATGAACTATATTGATATTAAAAATTTGTAAATAAAAAAATAAAATGCCAACATCACATATAGAAGTGATATATTTTTATGTAACAGCTTATGAATAGAGAAAAAAGATTTGTTATATCTCAAATGTTATAATTTTTCTTTCGTATTATTTTGCACATTAATAAAAAAATATTTATTTTACCGTGCGGATTCGCTTCGAGCTCGTCTGTCATCTTTTTTCGAGGATGTCTTTGACAAACGCACTTCTTCCTCACTAAAACTCCGACTATCCCGACGAGTGAGCTTTTTCAGATTACCTTTTCGTCGCGTTCTTCTTTCTATCCATCTCTCCTCATAGTAGAGCTCGGGATGCTTGTGCCCTCGTCTACAAGGACTACTATCGCTCGCGGTGCTACTCTCGTCATGTTTTATTCGAACCTTTGCTGTAAAAACTAAAGTTATTTCAATGACTTATTGTGTTATAATTGTATGGTACTATTGTGAAATATAATTGATAACACACGTCGAGAATTATATTTTTAAGAAATATTTGAAATATTTTGTAATAAGCCCTAGTAGCACAATATTCCGCCAATTATAAATTTGCCAATATTGTGCTACCAGGGAGGATTGTTATATGTATGACACTATAAATGATATTTATTATTATATCAGCTCGGTTTTTCTCGAACCAGATTTAACAAATGCCTATACGCATTACACATATACCTAATCTGACCTTTGTTCGGTGCAGTCTTATGCGTTCTGAGTTGCTGCGCCATAGTACCACCGTGCATCTGAATCAGTTTCGCACAATCCCTATGTCCTCTATAGAGTGCTGCGTCTAGCGGAGTCATCGAATTGCCCTTGCTAGTTCTAAGAACTGCATTGATTTTTGCGCCATGATCCAAGAGAATTTTGCACGCGTCCAGATGTCCGTGCAAAGCCGCGACATGAAGGGGTGTCTTGCCGTCGTGAGTAGCGACGTCCAACGTGCTCGGTCTTTTTTTCGCTAACCACTTTATCAATTCGATTCTACCGGACGCGACGGCCTCGTGCCCTATCCCCGTGCCACGCACGGTTTTAGCGTGGAGCGACCCGCCATGCTGAGTTAGAATCTTCAAAGTTTCTAACTGACCCTTAGCTGCGGCGCAAAGTGCTGGTCTGAAAAACGTAAAAATTTCGAGACTTTTTCATTTTTACTAGAATTAAAATATAACGGATTGCGCCAACATGTTATAAGTATATCAAATGCGGTAGAGTATCTATTGATTGTTAAGAATCATTATCTAGGAAACCTGTCATTCTATTATTTAATTATTTTATCCGAAAAACCAATTAAAAATTAAGATTGTTCCAGAAACTTGATAATCTTACGTTCTACCCTTTCGATCTTGACGATTGGGATCGGCCCCGAGTTTGAGGATAAGAGCGGTGGCATCCGCGTGACCTAAAGTCGCAGCGTAATGTAACGCGGAACAACCGTTGTCGTCCACATAGTCGGGATGAGATCCGCACAAGTTGACGAGTACTTCTACGCATCTCGCGTGGCCTCTCGAGGCTGCACAATGAAGTGCCGTGAGTCCGTCTTTGTCTGAAGTACCTGCGGCTGCCGAACCTCCGGCTCTAATTCCAAGGAAAAAAATTATAACGAATCTCCCTTAATTTCTCTTCATCATTTTTTTCAATTATCATTTAAAGAGTCAACGATTAAAATTAAATCAATTCAGCATTTGAGAGAGACTGACGTTTTTGCTGGACAACTAAAACGATTAGAGTCTCTACCTTGCTAGAGCCAACACTGCCTCCACGCTACCCGCGCTTGCCGCCCACAGAATCGGTTGCCGTCCGTCCTCGTCCTTTGCATTCACGTCCGCGCCGAATTCAAGAAGCGTTTGTAAAACTTTCAAGCCAACCTTCTTAGGAACAGCAAGCTCGGCCGTGGCGGCCGCGCCGCAACATTGAGCGGCATAGTGAAGTGGAGATCCGCCACGTAAATCTGGGGTGGAAGGTCGCGCGCCAGCCGCCAGAACCAACCGAACGCATTCCGCTTCCCCGCAAACTAAAAATCATTTTTGTATCTACGACTTTTTTGATATTTTGAAAAGGACAATGAAAAAGAATAATACTGGAGATTGCTCCTTTCGATTGGTGCAATCACTTTGTTACAATTAGCGAATAACATCGTGGAAGGTCGTAGTTACGCGATTGAACAAATTTATATCATAGTGTCACTAGATAAATAATTTCTCTTACATCGTTAGTGTATCGGAAATATCGGGATATACAGGTTTAAAGAGTCTTTGTACGTGCAATCTTCTCTTTAGCTTCAATATTTGATCGAAGCTTATACGGCTGCAATTATTATACTAAGCATTTTAAATTGCATCGTTATTTTACTTTAATTGTATTTTTTCTATTACGATCTTTTTTTTCTTTTCTTCCTCTTTCTCTTAGAAGGTCAAACTGTCCTGCACTATCGTACATTCAAAGTTTTCTTAAAGGGATTTCTTTGGGTGACGCGTGAAATGCAGAGCGTTGTATCGTTCTTCCCGATCTCCGAGGAAACGACGGGCGTGCCGTAATGGTCAAGGAAGGTCAGTAGGTCATCCTGACAAGAGTAACGTTCGTTCGTTAGCGATCACGCAAGAACGCATATCGCGATCGTTTTAGCGACTGACCATAGAAGTCCTTGGATTTTATTTGTATGAAAATTTAGACAAACGCACGCGCGTAGGCGTTTTATCTGTTAGATATATGTCAGTTATACACACGGAAAGAACAATTTTGTTGAATCCAGATCTGAAAATAATTTTTGTTCAATAATTAAAATAATTTTGTGCGAAAGTCAAAATGATTGCTAGAATATCAAAACGTTTTATAGCAATACTTATCAATTTTAACACTCCAACCAATTATTTTGATGATTCAACAAAAAATTATTTTCAGATCTGTATTTAGCAAAATTTTTAGACCTTTTAACAAAATCGTTGTATATATTCACATGCATAAAAGAAAAAAAAGCAACTTAATTAAAGCATGATGATCAAAAATTAAACGACGCTTAGATATTATATTGATTTGCATACTAAACAAAAAGCATTTAACATCTGACATAGTTTGTGAAAATCTGCAGGAAAAGCTGACTGATCCGCACAATCATTTAAGACTCAGCAAATTTATAATATAGACCCGAATATCTTGCGAACATTTTACTCATTTACGCACATACGTTTTTGCTAAACAAACAATCGAGAAAGAAGAATCAAAGCAAAATGGAAACTTAAGATCAAGAATAAAGGACAAAATTTTTCTAAAATAAAGATGTAAATAATATGTTAGTAACATTTATTAACACAATACAGTTGAAAGGGTTAAAAGCTGAGAAAAAAAAACAATTTGTGCAGTTTAAATAAATGCAGGCCTAAAAAGATAATAATCTTTTAGAGATAACAGCGGAAAGTACCAGTGGCCCAATGGAGAACACTATGTCCCTCGAGATCTTTAGCGTTAACATCGGCACCGTTCGCCAAGAGAACCGCGACCAGCTGAGTGTCCCCGGCGATGACCGCGAGATGAAGCGGGGTGTGCCCCTCGGCATCAGGAGCGTTCACCAGTTCTGGTGCCGCCGCGGCAACGGCACCACCGGTACCCGCGTCCATGCAATAATGAAGGGCGTTTCTCAACGTACGATCCCTATAAGCGATCGTTTCCTCCTGTTCCTTCAATAATCTCAATACTCTTGTCCTGTCACTCTGTTGACAGGCGTGCATCAAAGGTGTTGCACCGATGTGTAATACTCTGAAACAGTGCGTTTCTTTTATTGATTTAGTGGAAAGGGATAGAGAGAAAAAAAGAAATTTGTATAAAAGAAAGAAATTATTCCGCAACAATTTTTATTTTTTCATATAGAATTATTTCTGATATTGTATTACTGATTATAAGAATTATGTATTAGCTAACGGTAATTGCTTGAAAAACGTTTAAATATCGTGTTGAATCCCGTCCGTCAAACAGATTGACTTGTGGACGAAAATAGATGAGCAAATTTAAGTAGTTTGGAAGGAAATCAATATCGAAATAGTCTCTACCTATAAGGTCTCTTCTTGCGATGATCCTGATGCTGCACAGGGCAAGGTGGATCCTGCGACCGCGATGTACCGGACAGTCTGTGTTTGGACGAACGATGATTTGGATACGGTGTCAGCGGGGGCAAGGACACATCGGCCACGCGATCCGCTCTTTTCGGTTGAGGCTTCTCCTGCGACTTGAGCGGGATCGGCGGAGTCTTAGTGTCCATGCCCGTCTCTGGCACCTACTCGCGACTACTCCAACCGGTCGCGTGGAAACATCTTCGGACCTCTCGACGGATCGAACTCATCGCGCCGAGGAGGACGTCCGGTCTCTTGACCCCGAGTAAAATATATCAGTGCGCGAAAGAAATTCGGTCGAAAACGTCCGGATGTACACGATAGTGTTTGAAATTTCAATAATAGTCGATATCAATACAGCAATAAAATGAGCATTATATGCACGTAGAATATAAAAAAAATGTATAGACTGCATGTACGTATGTAAGTACATATACATATACGAGCTGATTAAGTAAATTTCGAGCGTTTCGCAACATACATTGCGATAATAAATGGGGCTATCGTAAAAATGAAACTATCGATTTATGTATCTGCGCGCGTGAAGGACGACGCTGCCGTAAAATCTGTAACGATGCTCCGCATCCTAAAATAAGCATTCATTAAGGTACGACCCAAATTTTCGGTTCTAAATCAAAGTTCAGTTACTGACCACGTGGTGAACTGACCAGGTCACTCGCTACCATAGAAACCAACGGTCACAACACGCGAATACCTATAAAGAACCATAATAGCTGATACCACGGCAAGGTCGTCACGTGTCGAATTCTAATCTTCACCTCGCGTAGATCGTATATGAGCTGTCAGGAAACTGATTACTTAAAACACCAAGGGAGCTATTTAACCCTGGCTATGCATAGCGTCTTTTAGATCCGACGGCATCAATGGAATAAAAATATTATTATGCTTTTTGTCTGATTTCTCATTTAATTTGTCTTTGTATAACCTGGTTTATCCGTCTGGGCAATGTTATTATATTTACATTGCATTAAGTACATAGTATTTGTTTAAAAAAAAATGTCGAATTAATCAGTTGAAAGCCAACCCAACAAAAAATTTGCTTGATTATCTTTGATATGCTTGATTATTTTTTATATTTTTCAATTTCATATTAAATTCAATCGAAGAAAATCGTTTATTACAATTTTCAAAAATTCAACTTGTAAACGATTTGAAAAAAAATTGAATAAACAAATGAGAAACTCGCATTTTATCTTTGGCTTATATTAAATTTAATAAGTTTTTACACAAATCAGGTTGGAAATTAAAATTTTATTAAATAAAACCCGCTTGAAAAAAATTAATGATAAAATTTTGTCAATAGTTGACAAAATTTTATCATTAATTTATATATACATATATATATCTTTAACCATTGATTAACGAAATGAATATCTCGATATTTTGCCGTAGAAAAATTGTTTCTGTATCGGTTAAATGCCGTGCAAGTGAGAGTGAGATTTCATATATAGTTCATAGTCTCGCGCAAGATATATACATACATGCGTACATACATAGATACGTGCAACGAACTCGCGCCGTAACGCGACGATGACTGAAAATCGTTAATTCGTTGATTCACCATGCCAAACATCGATCCATTGCTCCGTTAATAATTTGCCGAGACCTTCGCGTTTTTCGTGATGTTACGTCATTAATATTTAATTGTAACATCTCCGTCTTTTCGCGTTACGTGTGTGTACCACGCTTTGATATATCACGTGTTTATTGTTTACGAGATCCGAATTGGCAATCGATCGAAATGTATATATCTCACATGCACTTACTCATAAAAATTAACGAATGAAGCAATTACTCACTCATTCTTATACTCTACAAGATATATACTTTTTAATACAAAGAAGCACATAAATAAAAAAGTGAAATGTGTTTGATGATTCACGAATAATTTTTCTTTTTTTTTTTTTTAACTTTTATCGATAAATGTAAATGACTAAATTTACATTACTTGAATATAATGAGAAACCGTGTCTCATGAAAGATTCAAATACTTAACTGTTACAGAATAGTAGAAAGATAGAGATCTTGTTCTATATTGTTTATTTTTTGTAACAATATTAAAAACTTTATATCAATATTGTATATAAATTAATTATAAATCTTTACAATAATAAGATACCTGTATTTCAAGTAGAGAATGAATTCAAGTAGAGAATGAAAGATAAAGATTTATATAATTAATGAAAAATCAATTTAAAAATATTAAATAAAACGTTGAATCGAAAATTAAATTAATAAGCATTAAAATGGAAAACAAACTAATGAATTTTAATATGCGTTTATTGGCTTGTATTGACCTAGAAATATCTTCTTACTGGTTAATTAAGTTACATCGTTTAATATCGAATTCTATTTTATTTGCATTTTAATTTTTATTCCTTGCAGAAACAATCAAATTTGTATCTTTTTATATCAGAAAAAGAATGATAGTAATGACGATTAATGAAATATAGAAATATGTTGACATTCACATGATATCCGACAATAAATATGCAAGAATTTAATTGAGCATTCTAGTATAATATCTAATGTATATATTTAACTGATGTACTTTTACTTACCTCGTGTTATAAATTACGCAACTAAATAGTGTTATTTGCTCATTATTTTGGCGCCATCAGATTTCAAAAATCAAAATTTGATTGTCAAATGTTAACCTCGGCCACGAGGTCTACTCGTTATAGCGACAGTGAAACGTACCTTTAGAGGGTGGGAAGCGCACTGAACGCTCCGCATAGCACGAGCAAGTTAACATAAGGGTTGCTTAGATACCACCGCGTCTCAGAAACGTGTCAACAAAAACATATCTATATTATTAAATGAGTACAAAAGATTTATTTATTAAGTTTGATCGCTATAAAATGTTAAAATGTTAAAAATTAAGTAATAAATTAATTGTAAGTTAAGAGTATTTTTAAAACAAAAAACTTGAAAAATTGTTTTCAAAAAAAGCTAATAACGTTTTCAATGATTAAATGCTTAAAAATGATTATTGATAAAAGTTATAATTTTTTCTATTAAATTCCGTTCTAGTCTTAATAATTAAGAAAAATAAAATTATACTAAAAATAGCAGTTTTTTATTAAATAAAAATTGAAAATTTTTTCTGAATTCAGAAATTAATCAAAACTAGCAAAGACCGTTTCGAATGTAAAAGTTACTTTGAAATATGTATACAATTAAAAATTTTGTTTTCAATTGTATATTTAATAAATATAAGAAACTGTTTGTATTTACTGAAATGTACATATCCAAGAGCAGTAGGCAATTGGGGGTATAGCTCAGTGGTAGAGCATTCGACTGCAGATCGAGAGGTCCCCGGTTCAAACCCGGGTGCCCCCTCAGAAATCTCTTTTTTATCTCGTAAATTTTTTTACATTTTAATTTGTCATATTCATGATCTAGTGATAAAATATTTTGTTTACTTATTTCTTTTAAAGGTAGGAATAAATTCTTACTCATTTTTATTATATACTGGTTATTATCAATTATAACTAAATTAATAAAAATTGAAGTAAAATATCTTTGATTCTTTAACAATATTAGGCTACATATCTTAATTTTTTAAAGGGAAAAATAAAAAATAATTTAAATATTTTTAATACATTAAAAAAACCATAACTCTTTAATTTTTTACAAATTTTATTTATAATTTTACATGGTAATTGATAAATTGTAAACAGATTATACAGTATGAGTCCTGCAACATTGCTCGACCCTTTTATAGATACAAAATTATATCCAACAATAAAGCTAAATGATATTATATAACAAACATATGTATGAAAACAATTCACAATTAAACTTCTCCATTCTAAAAGTTCTTCTTTCTATAAATTTACCCTCTTACATTGCTTTATTACTACTCACATTTGGATAATCTCACATAATTAGTGAGGGCTAAGAAGAAATGGAATAGAGAAAGTATTTAATTTCAGTAATTTTAGAATAGAGAAATTCACTGTAAAAATATATAAAAAGTTATATTATAAATTTAATTTTGTGCGTCTTTGAATATTTGAGGATATAAGAAAAACAAGAGATTCACCTAAGATTAAAACACTTAATATCTCTTCAATTAGAAAACATATTGTGAGTACGTATAATAATTTCATATTTACACTAATATTGCTATATTATATTGGGCTCAAAATTATTTTAATATTACATTGGTAGAGTCAACGTCAGTCTTTTAATATATATAGTTTCTGCCAATACTATAAAGATAAAAACATTAGATATAACTTGTTACAAATTCTACCATCTCATATTTCGCTTTCTTAGCATATCATCAATCTTTTCATTATATAATCATAACATTCGAATACATTAACAATATTATCAGTGCTTAATTTTATATAATGTGTGAGTAATATCTTAGTAATATTTGGAAGACTTAACGATATAATCATTTATATTTTGCTATCCACAAGTTAAAAATGAATTTTGTAGAATGCATATATATCATTTATGAATATTTGATAAGGCAACTCTCGTAAAACTTGTATACAATCTAAAATATTTAAATCCGCTTTATGATCCATTTGTCCATCTTGTACGTATGAGTATAAGCTCATATACTTATAAAGAAATAATGAAATATAGTGTATCTTGAAAAATAGTTTGTCATATGTATGACAGCAGTTATATATAATGCAATGATGTCAAAGAGATTTCGATATTTGTGCCTAACCTTAAGAAAATCGATAATATTCCGCAATGTGATTCAGCATATCTTGAAACGCGGTAGGAGGTAATGCACCAAATTTTTGTCTCCACAAATGCCTAGCGATGATATGTTGGCCCGACGTATGCGTAGCTTCTTGAACTTCCTCACAAACTTCGATGGCATTTTGCCAAATAGTTTCTTAAATACAGGAGGAAAATAATTATGCTGTTCATATAGATAGACGTTATAAAAAAAAAAAAAGTAATTACCGAGATTGTCAAGGAGTTTACTTTTACCAGGTGGATCGAATTTCTGTAATTGTTCGACACTGATAATTTTGTATTGCCTTAGACTCTGTAAAGATTCATAACTGCAGCAACGAGCACGATCATTTGCTACTATATAACTTCCTGGTATTGTGTGTTTTGTAATCTCCTTCAGAGCTTCTTTTACCATGTTACTCTTGTCGACTCCCGTTTGTAGTTTGTCAATTTTTTGTGGCTATAAAATATAAAATTTAAAACAATGTAAATTTCAAATAAAATGATACTTTTTAAAATGTAATTAAGATATGTTCCATTGAAACATTATACCTCTGGTACAGCCTCAATCATGTGTAACCATATGCGAGGTGGTATTGTATTTGCTTCCGCCACGCATATTATTGTGTGTGAATTATTATTACGTTTTTTGGCAGAATTCACATCTGGTTGACGTTCCATCATATAACCACCAGGAAATTCATCCACAATTAATATTGCACCTTCGCCACCTAATAACCAATCCTCTGGATGTTTTCTAACATAGATTGCGGAAACCTCGTCACATCGTTCGTATGCCTTTCTAACAACATGTTTCTTCAAATCTGTAATAACATGTACACATGCATTTGATGTCATACAGCATTCAGATTATAAAACATTTGTCTAAATAAGAACCTAAATAAGAAGCAGTAATTTCGCAAGGAATTTTTTGACACCATCCTAATATCAGTTGAAGGCACAATTTCAGGTCACACTTTATTCCAAGAAAGAAAGAATTTTCCCTTATGGACTGTTTCCTCGTGCAATCAGGACAAGACCAAATATATTTGTCTACAATTCTTGCAGGGCTCCATGTTAAACTACGTCCTTTACAATCCGAATGCGGGCAGTTGGAGACCGTACGAATCAAGCTCATTTCTTTCAACCAACCGCATAATTCCCCTTCATGCCCCTGTTGTAACATCGGTCGAACGACAAGATCAAATAGTCCACTTTGATCGCTAAATCGCCCCAAGCTTGTTCTGCAAATTTGTATTACGAATGAAACGCACAACAATGAAATAGTTCAATTTGTAATTGAATTGTAATGACAGCTTATTTTACTTATTTCGATGATTTAAAAGAATAAACCTCTGTTGCAATCAGCAATGACATGTATTGTACAAGACATTGTGTTATGAAAAATTCCATGACTTTGATTACCTTGAATTTTTGGCCTTTGCGTTTTTCATCATTAATTCTAAAATAATAGGCAGTGTGCTTAGTTTAATGTTATTAACTTTCGTATCTAACAAATATGTAATAACGATGAATAAAAATTTGCTCACAATTAAACAAAAAGTGAACAAAAAAAAAACAATCATAAGAACTTAACCAAGAAACGATCAAATAACCGTGGTGGAGTCCATTGTCATCTATATATCTATCATATATATGTATATACATACACAAGCAGAAGCGCAACTCGCTATGCGTTGGCAGCTTTGGTACGGGAAGCCGAAACGAAAGACGCAAGCGCGAAACGGAGCCATATTTGAAATTGTACGCCAAAGATACTAATAATTACTTTAATAAAAATTAATGATTTTTAAGTAATATACGTTAACAAAATTTTTTTAATTAGAAAATTATATGAAAGAACGAGAATGAATTGAAACGTTAATGTGTTGACTTACCTGCCATGTGTTGACTCCCTTTGCTATAATCTCTTTTACAAAACCGTGCATTAATATTCGCACTCAGGGTGGCTTCTATCTTTTCATTTCGACTGAGAAATATGTGTATAAATGAGAGCTTATATATATATATATATATAAATTTATATACTTATAAATAAATATAATTATTTATATAATCATCTTATAAAGTTTAGACAACACGTTCAAATTATCTTCAATACTTTGTGTATTCTTTTTTTCCTTTTATTAAGAACACGTTTTACAAAGCAAAATCTTGTGATGGTGGAAGTTGTGGAGGCTGAAGACTACAGAGTTAGTGTTGAGAGATACGTTTTAAGGGTTCCGAAAAGGTGAGTGCGGATAAGGATATCGGCACATTAATATAAAAAGTACTCTTTGAGTGACAGCGTGAATATTAGGCCGACACAATCATTCACTCATTCATTCGTCCGTTCATTCGGTCGATCCAGTCAATCAATCGGTCGGTCAGTCGGTCAATCTTTCGAACAGATAGATAGGCAAACATTTTTCTGCATATGTTGCACAAATACACTGCACTTTCATATGTATGCATTCGAAAGTTAAATGTATGATTTGTCTACATATAATTTCCTAGTGGAAAACAGTGCAAACAAAGGTCACTGATCATTTAAAATATTTTATACAATATAAACAGGATATCGCTTAATGCAATAAACACAATAAAGCTATCTTCCTGTTAATGTAATAATACGCGCATAAAGTAGAAACGATTTTTTAAAACGTCGATCAATATCACAAATTAGAATTGACTTCAATTAATGTCATTAAATAACAATTTATACGAGTTATCAGTTCGATCGTTAAGTATCACGCACAGACGCAACTTGTATTCGTTTGATTTTCTAATAAGTGCACCCACAGTAAATTCTATGAATTTTATTTAACGATCGTCTTGATAATCGTAACAAGAAGATAGCAATGGAAGAGCTCTCATTAAGGAATACAGCGCAAATGATACAATTGTATATAATCAGCCTCTATAATGATATTCCGAGGGAAAATTTCTCACGCAAAGGCTACATCGCACGAAAAATGCATTAATGTAGTATAAGAAGCGATAACTTTATTATGGACATTCGATTGCCAACTTGTGTAATTGAAAACTCGGTGATAAAATTCAATCTTCAGTGAAATCATCGTTTTACGGGATCGCGATTGTCATTACTAACAAACCGTAAATACAGTTGGATCTTATAAAATATTTATGAACGAGATCGAGCTATTCAAGAAAACGAGCACAATTATCCTTTTCTATGTTGCGTGCATAGGAAGGCGCAGTTTCAAGACAACTTCACAACGAAAACTTCAATCACACACATCCCTATTCAGCCGATGAAAACGTAAACGTATTACAACATGATACTACTGTAATAACAGTGGCAACTGGCAGATAAACAGACAATTTGGCAGGCACGATGAACATAAAACCAAACATGTACACGTGACACTTAACCAGACTTTTTTTACATCCTCTTCCCCCCCTCTCTCTTTCTCTCTCTCTCTCTCTCTGTCTCACTCACATACACACACACTCACTCGCTCAAATTTTCTCTTTTTTTCTGCTCTTCTTGCCTCCATTACTTTTATTCATTCCTATGTTCTACATCCACGAAGTCCTATAATTATATAATATAGGCTTTAGTACTCTATAATGTATGCTAAACTAGGACTACCACTACGCCGTGTCTAAATACGACGCAGCATTCTTAATTAATATTAGGAATATCGGCAGTGAAATTCCAATGACAGACGCGGCAGGCAGGCAATCAGTCCGGCAAAGTCTGTGGCACTTCCGCTGTTCCGGTGCGTAAAACGGATAAAACTGATTGTCGGGGTGCCCCGCACGTTTAATTTCTAACATTCAGTGTCGACACACGACTGCACGCAATGTCTACAAAGATAATGAATCAAAATTAGGGAGGAGGGGCACCCCACTGCTCGTACCGAGCAATCTCGCTTTTCTATTTCCACCATGGCACCTTCATCGTCATGTTCCACCATTACTTGACATCGTCATCTTATTCTACTTTTTTCTTCCATTGAAAAATAATTTCTTTACAATACTTGGTGATGTGTCCATCGACGAATACAGATCGCCGTGATACCTTCGCTTGTTCGATTTGATCAGAAGCAAACCGATGTTGTGTTTGAATTGTCCGAAACGAAGATTACTAAGATTATAAATCACAAATGAAATCACAGACTTTCGTTGGTGGTTCGAATAGAGAGGGGCCGTACATTGCAATTAGAACAACGCTGTAGGCATTATCAGGAAAAGTTTGATGAGAGGCACAGGGAACTCTTCTATTCCCCTTTGCTTTTCATTCCCATCCATTCTCCTTGATCATGTGGGCAAGTTCGATTATAAATTTTCCTTCCTTATATTTCTGACTTGACTCGAACGCATGCTCCTAAAAAATATCAGTAGACAATTAACATTATTAATTTTTTTTTATTTAAATTTAAAACTAATTTAAGTTAATAGATAACTAACATATTTCCATCCTAAGGTGGTTTTGCAGCACTCGCAATAAATATCCGCGACAGCGTGCAATCCAGTTAACAGAACTCGCTCCTCCGCGGGACCGCAGCCTACGTTCACCCTATATAACGCAATTATCATTTTTCTATTTTTATCATGTGTATTCTATGCTTTAAACACACACACACACACACACACTCACACACACATCGATAAGTTAGTGTGTGTATACTTATTGATTGATACTGACACAAAATACACAAAAAATGGCCTCAAATTACAACCATTAAAAAATATTTACTTCAATTTCGTTTATGTTTATTATAAAAGTGTAAAACAATGAAAAAAATTATTAAGATATTATTAAATTATAATTATAATTATAGTTTAAAAGATTCATACAAATTAAACTTGTAGCGTAGATTGGAACATAGAAACCTTATTTTTCATTTATCTTCACAATAGTGTTTTTCTACTGCAATAGTCATTGAAATAAAACATTATACAGTTAGAAGATGTTAAATATAGAAAACAAAAAAGATCAAATTTCATTTGATTTTATCAGATCAAATTTTAAGAAAAAATTAATTTAAACAAATTAATTTTGACTTAATAAAAAAATTAAATTGATGATTCAAAAGAATAAAAATAGAATTCTAGGACATCCTATGTACATGTTATAAAGATCATCAATGCCAAAGATCTCAAGTTGTTTTATTTTCAACACAACATATATTAATTATACTTACACAGAATTAAAGAGATAGGCACGACCTTGACTGCCCTGGAAGGACTGAAAATAGAAAATAGAAAAAATTTATATCACGATGTGGGTAAAACGAGACATAGAATTATTATCCATTATTAATTGTTATAGAACTATTAACGATTCTGATCGGGGCATGAATTTTTGCCTGCGGTTACGTATCTCTGGGATGTAATAGATATTTTTGAGATTAGCCGAAATTATCGCTATTTAACAAAATATAAACGATAGCAATGATCACGTTAGAATCTCCGCAACCATATTCCGATTGGAACTATATACGCTTGCCTATAAAATATCAACTTTTCGATCATTTCGTATACCACTCGAATGTCCATAATAAGTAAATTGAAACGAGAAAACATTTCAATTAAAATTTTTCCGAATAGTCCCATAATAACTTCTATAGTTATTTTACTATTTGTACGTGCACTAGATGACATTAAAAATTATATAGGTAAGCCTCATCTTGTACGAAACCTCGAAATATATGTATATAAATTAGTTTTCTTTCCTTATCAACACTTGTGTATATTCGTTAATATATGTATAGATTAGCCAAATACGACAAGTTTCTTCAATGTCATAACTATTATATTCGCGGCGAGAGATCAGAAATCTTCAATAAAAAAAGAATGGCTTAAGAGATTTACCGTAGAAATTCGATCGAGGTATAGCTTACCTTAGAGATGAGTTCGTCGTGATTGGCGAGATGAGCACGGCAGTGAATGCACGAGTAAGTGCGGTGACAGGAAGGTAGGTACGCTTGAAAAGTTTTCACCATGATGGCGTGTCCAAGCGAGCGAAAACACACTTCGCCCTTGCTTGCTATTCTCCTATTCTCTTGGCAGGTGTAAGGATACAGATCTCTTTCTTCGCCAAGAGATTTACGGGTTTCCTTTATATTTTACCTAGAGGACACGAGACTGAATTTCTCCGAAACGCGGGGTGGTGGTGCGATAGTAGCCCCGTTCACCACCGCTTCGTGCTCCGATCAGCTGTTGAGCTGGTTCAGACAGCGCCGGTTCGGGGACACCTGTAAAGCGGGGAGATTACATTTAAAAAATGCGACGCGACGTTGATTTTCATTTCATATCGATTCTCGCTGTAACGTTATAGGCTCCTCTAGCAGCGGTTCACGCGAGACAATTGTTTTATTTTTCTTTCGCATACACGAGATACAGTCGCGCCCTGTGTTAACTGCGTAAACAAGAAAGCAAATCTCTTTATATTACAAACAAAAAATGTCAAGCTAAATCCTAAATTTTCTTAGTATTATATAAGAAAATTTTATCGCAAAATTTGATGCAAATTCAAATGTATACCGAATACGAGATGAATAGATTCAATATTATTCATATCGTAAAGCAAGCAGCTTTTTACAGCAATGGTTTGACATTGGCTCGGGAAGCACTGTTATAGCACGCTGCAATTTTCACGATACACGCGTTCCGTGCCGACAGCATATCGATCGCACCTCCGTGAATTACGTGATGAATATTTGTTAGTATCTACCAGTAAATTGCATTAACGACGATATCTAAATTGGAACAATTAGAAATAACGCACAAAATTAATTAATATAAGTATAGCGCAGATTATTGTATCGTGTTTCATATATGAAACAATCTGTTTGCGCAAAATTTTTTATTTTAAACATCAATAAGTATGTAATTAAATTATTAAATTTTCGTTTATCTCTCTCTCTCTCTCTTTCTTGTAAAAAAAAAACAGCTGGCAATGAAGAGCATGATGACAGTGGCGGAAATAACGTTGAAAGCAAAGCAACGTAGTTTTCAAAGGCAATTGCATCGATGTACTGCATATCGACTGATATGTGCCGCCACGTGCTGGCGCGCGTTCAAACAAAGAGACAAGGACGTTATTATGAATCGTTAAAGATAGAGGCCTTCTCTGTATGCGAGACGGGTAGACGCGCACTTCGCTTATCCCTTTTTTAAACGGATATCAGACGCTTTTATAAATGCTAATCACAAAAATACCCGCTAATCGAAACTGATTCCGCGATGACCTCGCGGAGATTCGATTCTTCCTGACATTGGAGTAATCGCGAGTATGTACATCTTCGAATATCGCAAACTTCGTCCATCTTCTTCGTGTTTGAAGCTCTTTTAGATTACAAGCGAATAAGTATAGCAGTTTTTGTAAGCGCCTAAGCGGTAATCCAATTCCATTGAGCGGAAGTGTCGGAGTCGAGTATCGGAATTCGCTCGGATTCGTGAGCACGTATTAAATTCGATCCTATCCGCACTTGCGACTGGCTCAGCGAAGAAAAGAACGAGAACGTATGGGAACGGGTTTTCTAACGGATGTCCGAGAACAAAGGGAGACCGGGACTTTCGAGTCAATACACTAGTCAAGGTCATTGCTACTTATTGTAGACGCAATGCGGCGTCTTTTTTGCTCTTATCGAGCAAGTACGCGTGATCGCCTCGACAGCTTGTCACCACGAGACAAAACTTGAGTTTCGTCCGGCTTAAATCGACTAAAAACTTGTAAAAAAAAAAAAAAAAAATTTTGCTCCATTCGCAAATCCCTTTCTCACAATCAATCCCCTTTTTCAGATATATCAAGTTTTATTGAACAGTCTATGTAATATGATCAATTTTCAATGTGATCCACAAAATCAATTGTTTCTTATGGAACATAAAAATCGATGCCACAAATTATTGAAGACTCATTGCTTTTGAAGAAAAACCGATTCCTACTGAACAAGCTTCAGGCGAATCAAAGAGAAGTGAGCCGAGGGGTTGACGGCCGAGGGCCGAAGTAGGGGGCAAAGCCCCCTAAGTTATTTATAAACTGCCTTCTATACAAGAGAATTTACCCGAGTCGTAACCCCTTCACCCCGCATTAGCTACATTACAAACGAAGATCGAATGGGCGAAAGCCATTGCCCTCGTCGCAAACGTTGTCACAAAACACTGATTACGACGTAGGAATAAGGTAAAGAAGACGGTCGAATGTACACGGGAAATTTTTTGGGCTCCAATCACAAATTATCAATTTCGATCTAAATTGGAATCTTCGGAATCGGAAAATATATCTAGAGAATGATAAAAGATGTGAACTGACAATCCATTAAAGTTTCCTATAATAAATGTGATAATTTTGGAATAAACGCAGATTCCGATGAGGTATGTAATCGAATAATTTGGAAAAAAATATCAACAACAAGGAAAATTGTTGAAGAAGATAAGAAAAAGCGGGAATAAAAAGGCGTGGCATTTCGATAGGTATCCGTAATAATGTCAAAGAAAGATTGCAGAAAATTCAATTCAGGACGATACGAGTCTGCAAATGCGAATATCGTAAATATTCTTTGAAATAAGTTTCGAGAAAGAAGACATTTTTTAGTATTGCGGAGAAAGGAAAACGTGCAACAGGGAGATGACGAAGGTAGCGGAGCACGCGCGCGCGCGCGCGCGCGGCAGCGTGTCGCGCTACGCGGCGATTCCGTCGCGCGCAGTCAGCTGATAGTCCAGTCAGCTGTAAATGTACACAAAACCGTTGTCCAACAGGTTCACGCGATGCGACGCCACGTTTGATCGAGTCGCGTGCATAAATGTCCGAGACACTCATATACGCAAGGACATCTCACATAATTCTGTCGCGGACTCTCCCATTTCTTGCTGGGAAGCGATCGAATGATCGTACGCGAAAAAGGCATGCTGTTTAATTATATCTCATTGTCAGCGCGTCGTTGATCGTTGGACGCGAATTATAGATTGTCATTGGTACGTCTGTCACGAAATCTCACATACAATCGTACATACAGTAAAAAAAAAAAAAAAGACAAGACTGTCACGGTGCGACTTAAAAAATAAATATCGGGCATAGTATATTGTATGTATTGTATATTTACTTCAATTGATTCAGATTTAATTAATATCTTTTGTCGTTCGTTGCGCATCCTCCTGATTATACTCAGCCATTATAAATAACAGATTGTTTATCGTTACATTATCTAAGCCAGTTAAAACAGTTAAGTCGTACGAGCGACTTGGGAAAGAAATAATTGTAAAAAGTCTTAATGAAAATAGTTGCGACGTATGCACGTATGGAAATGTATTCGAGCAAAACGTATTAAGAGAGGGAGAGAGAGAGAGAGAACGCGATTGACCAAGACCGTTCCAATGTTTTTACGTTGTGACGCGTCAAATCAGCTGTGAATGTATACAAAACAAGTCGATGCGTATTATCTGGTGACAGTACGTATTCATGTCGCTTATCGTGCGTATATGTGCGTGTGCGAACACGCGATCTGTTATGCGCGGAGAAAGAAATAAACAACTTCGGAGTAAACAGGCCAATACGACGAATACAATCGATGTCTAGATAGGTCCATTTTTGCGTACGATTAAACATTTGTATCCCAATCGCGAAGAGGGAGCTCAACCGAATAAAGGTTGAAATAAATTCCGTTTTTTTGTCGTTTTACGATTGAAACATCGTCGAAATGAATTTCGAGTATAGCACGTCACATAGACACCTGTGTCTACCCCCGTCTCTGTTCGTTCTGAAATATCGTAAATTTTTCTTAAGAACGAGCCGATTTCTTTCTCGCTTAAATATTAAGTAGGCTCGGGCGCGATACGTCGGGCGCAAAAGGCGCGTTGAGAAAATCGGAGCGAGTCATTGATAACGGCGGAAGAAGAATTGTGGATCGTTAATTTGACATGATGCTCGCAAGAGACGAGGTGAGCCAGACAAAGCGAGATGGAACGAGGCGAGGCGAGGCGAGGCGAAGCAAGGCGAGGCGAGGCGAGGCGAGGCGAGGCGACGCGAGGCGAGGCGAGGTGAGATGAGGTGAGGCTATGCGAAATGTGGCGAGGGGGTGAGCGGAGCGCGCAGACACGACGAATGAGGCAGCTGACAGGCCCCATCAGCTGAGAACGTACACAAACCCCGATGCTTTAGCCGCGCTGTACCCACGAAGACATCGTCGTGGGTTCAACGCGCGAGCGATTTTCGTTCTTTGTCGCGAGAAAGATGTCCCTTCCCGAATCCGATGGAGATTCGAAAACAATAATGCGTAGTTCGAGAGACGAGTGGAGAGAGAGAGAGACAAGTATGGAGTACGTAACTATGGTTCCGTCCGCGCGTTCCACAATGCTCCTGCACAAGCCAGAGATGGTCGACTCGGTGACGATTCGGTTGAAACCGAAGAACGGCGGAGAAAGCTTGTTCACTGATCGCGCGATACATAAAACGCGCGTCGTCTTCGACGCTCCGAGATGTCACGCCGAGTGTCGCTCGGCGCTCTCGCGATCGCCTCTTGCGTCGCTGTAGCGTCGCGTGTCGCGTCGCGTCGTTTCGCGTCGCGGCCGAGCGTTTATCGCGTGAATCCCGTGAGCGTGTCGCGCGATCATGCAAAATCACGGCGGGCACCTCGAGGTAAACAAAGACGCATGTACAAGAGTAAAGGAGTAAAGCGCGTCGTCGAGACGAGCTTTTCACGTACCTCCATATGCATCCGTGACCGCTGCGGCGGAGCGCGACGACGACGCGGGTTCTCGGTCTTCCCTCTGCCTCGCGACTCGTAACACGGAGCACGGATCGCGGATCACGGCTGTTTCGTCTGCGTGCTGTGCCACGAGCGACCACGGCGACGACGACGGTTCGTTTTGATCATCACTAACGCGAAACGCGCGCACGTCCAGCGAACGCCGTACCCCGTACACCGCTGATCGACTCGGCGCGTCGTTCGATTTATTTCGGTTCGTCCGCAGGCGAAATCGCGCATACGATGACCCGCGCGCACGCGCCCGACGGTCTCCTCCTGATTACGGACATCACCGATAGGGCGCGCTACCTGCCGATTCGAAATGTCGCCGAGTGTCGTGTGATCGTCGTGCGTCGCGCGACTCGCGGCAGTCGCGGCACTCGCGCGTCGTGCGTCGCGAATGCCGCGTATGTTGCACGTCCGCACGACTCTCACATACAGTTTTGTTACGCCTACTTTCTTCTTGTTTATTAAAAATTGCTATTAACTTCTCTTCGTAGTTTATCGAAATTTTACAATTTATAGACACATATGTGTATACGTACATACATGTATGTATAGATGTATACTATATTTATATTGATTTATATCATAAAAATTTTATGAGAAAATAGATTCTCTTCTTAGTCTTTATTTTAATGGTATCTATCGTGATGATCGAATAACAGAATCAATATCGTGCCTCTTCTTTCTCACATCATCTCCTTTTTTCCACTTTTTTTTTCACGTGACTAAAACAAAAATTTACAAAAAATGATCTTTTGGATGAATCATCTTCTCCGTATGATATCCGATTGTTAATTATTCTTTTCATTCTTCAAAGAAATGCTTTTCTATTTGTCGCTGCTTGGAAATATTGTCTGCTCTGCACATTCGATTTCTCAAGTTATTTGGATATAGAAATTTTGCGAGACTTGCTTTATCTTCAGTGACAACGTAGCAAAGAGAGTTAAAAGAAGCAGACGTATTGTTTTATATATATATATAAATTGAGAACTATTTTTAATACATTTTTCTCATTTAATTTGTACGTCATATTTTTATGTTCTGGAGTTTCGAGCGTTTATTTTAGAACATATAAGGTGTTTGAAATTTCGAACGTATATCTTCGGCGGCCCAGCATCAAACTAATATTTCATTTTATTATTATGGAAAAATCAAGATTCAATTATATACCGACAATTTGTATTCGATAAATTGGCTTTATTATTATGGCATAAGACCCTCTCTTTAATTCTAATATTACTTGTGATACAAATGTAGTGAAAGGAAATTTTTCAACGAGACTGGCGCTAGGTGACATTAGAATGTAGGCGTTAAGAACACGAACGATTATGTGATTATAAACTCGCATAATTTCACGATGATGATGATTCATGAGCTTGATGCTTTACCGTTATTTTTGTTTGGCAAAATATTGCGACACTGAATACTCTCTCGATAATTCAATAACTTTAAATGTATTGAACAAGTGTACGATATATTATATGATTCGTGCAATATGAATTTACTTTTACTTACTTTTACATATTGATGTAGCGTCCACATTCTCTTGAGCGTTATAGCATTTAATAATTTTGTAACAAAAAAGAGACGGAGCAACTTGAAAAAGAACTTTGAAATTCGATGTATAAACTAAAAAACAAAAAGAAAAGAAATATTAATACCTACGATTTTGGTTTGAGATAGAAAGAGGCAGACAAATTGACACGTGGTCAAATTTGCACTTAAAATTTCACAATTTTTTCATATATACGGATATCGGTACGGCAGCGATTTACGTTATTTTCAAAAAGAAAAATAGATACGTATTAAAACTATGTAGGAAACCTTTATTCGTATTTCTTCCGATTTTCTATAGCTATACTATTAGTTAATATACTCTTGCTGACAAAAATTAAATTTGCGTTTTATTAAAAGAGCCCGCTAAGCAATCTCACACGAAACTGCACGCGACGCGCACTTTGTTATTACGGAGAAAATTTAATTTAATCGAAAACGACAATTAAGCACGTGGAAAAGCTTCTTGGGATTCTAAACGCGAAGTGCACGTATAAAAAGATTAATACACGCTCAGAATGTATATGTATTAATCTTATATAACTTTTATAACTTTACTGATGTAAAACTAATATATGCATTAATTTTTGTATATATAACGTTAAGATTTTTTTTCGTATATAGCGTCCATACATCGCGTTAATTCCTCACGAAAAACATTTACATCCATTTATTGATATTTGGATCTTATAAAACCGGGATTCTTACGTATTTCTAAAATTTAACGAACATCTTGCTCGTATCGTTTAACGTAAAAATATAAATTGCGCGGGGCTAAAATGCTATCTTGTATAGATCTAAGCTTCAAAAATGCTTCATAAATGCGCAATGTCTGCCACCCTCTTTCTCTTCGCCAAAACGCGTTTACAGAATCTCCCACTTTCTGTTACCATCTTACACTGTTGATACATCAATTATCTTCTTTCAGTTACTTCAGTTAGTTTAGTTGATCGCACAAATTACATTGAGAAGGATAACAACAAAGCAGCGATACACGGCGAACTTATGTTTTTATCTTGATTTATTCAATACGTGTTTTCTTATAAAGTGATGTCCTACTAAATAAAAGCAACTGAAAAAATCACCAAACATAATAGTTAATGTTCATTAAAATTCTTCTTCTCATTAAGGCAACTAATTTGTTTAGTCTCATTTTACATGTCTAGAGTATATATTTATATATTTATATATTTATATATTTTTATATTTGTATATTTATAAAGTATATGTAAAACACTAATATATGATTACTTTTATTTCCTTGTTACAAGCCTTATATTAATTAGAATATAGTGTATATATGTATATTCTTTGTATATTTCTATCCTTGTAATAAAATTGATTATTATTTTTGAATCTAGAGATAATAAATATATATCTAACGTATATTGTTAGTACAAGAGAAGTGCGTGTAGAGGGTGGCAGCAGGGTGCGCATTTGGGAGTGCTATCGTTTCAAGGACTCTCCAGTCCCTCATCTTTATACCGTCTCACATGGTGACGTTCAACTGTATTGCTTTAGCGTCCACGGAACATGCTTGCTGTTGCTGCGTCTGCTGCTGCTGTTGTTGCTGCTGCTGCTGTTGCTGCTGCTGTTGTTGCTGTTGCACCTGTTGTTGCACCTGTTGCTGCACCTGCTGCTGTATTGCCTGTAGTTGAATCGTTTTCGTATCGACGGTACACGTTTGCTGTTGTTGTTGTGGTTGCTGCTGCTGCTGCTGTTGCACTTGTTGTACTTGCTGCTGCTGCTGCTGAACTTGTTGCTGCTGCTGCTGCGCTTGCTGCTGCTGTTGCTGTTGCGCTTGCTGAGCCGCAGCTTGGGCAGCTTGTCTTTGTTGTTGTCTAAGTATACTTGGTGGCGGATCCATATGCTGACGTTGATGTAATAACAAATGATTCTTTTGGAAGAAGGCTTTGCCGCATTTGTCGCATACGTGTGATCTTATATGGCAACTGCCATCCGTGTGACGTCGTTGATGCTGCGACAAGCCGTGTTTTTGTGCGAAACCGCGGCCGCAATCAGGACAAATGTGTGGCTTAGGTTTTGGTCCTGTACCTACTGGCGGCGATGTTTGTGTCGCGCCATGCATATGACTGACACCAGGCGTTCCAATCGGTCCGTTCATCTAAAAACATATTTTAGATTTATAATTAGATTTATAATTTACACATTTCACATTTTAAGCACACATCTATTGCTCATATTCATTTGATACTGAGATGTCTTTAACATTAAAGATAAAAAATTTTAATTTACCAAATTTAAAAGACTTTAGTATTCAATTGTAATAAAAATTGATACACACAATCGTTACCTGATGTGTTCCTGGAGTGTTTGGAGTAAGGAAATGTGCTGGAGTTTGCTGAAAGGCAGCTGCTAATCCACAAAGGTCCGTTACGAGTGTTCGATCACCAGTATGTAACCTTTGATGCAAATTTAGAGCTTCTCGATTTGGGAAGTCCAGCCCACATTCTCTGAAAGCATAATCATTCGTTAAGAATTTATATACTATAATTTATTGTACTAGAAAAAAATTGAGATTTATCTCTTTATTTTTTGTCAAACATGTATATAAATTTTCAAAGATGTTTGGTATTTGTAAACAAAATATTTATATACATTATATAAATCATATTTACATATACTAAATTTATTTTCTGATATCTTAAATTTCAATTTTTTCTTAAACAAAAAAAACACAAATAAAGAAAAACTTGATTCAATTCTGTTTTGATGTCATATTTTATACCACAATGTGTTCATCAATTCAATTTGATAACATCATAAAATATATTTTGAATTCAACGTTACACATAAATTTGTCTTAATACATCTCAAAACATATGTAATTACTATTAAAAGAACACTATGTGTAAAATCACTGAACTAGACTCTAGAAAAGTTAATAGTAATTCATAAAGCAAACTGTTGATAGCAACTAGAATAATATCAAGATACAAGATGTAGAGAGAATCATCTTAAGGTAAAATGAATTAATAAATCGTTGCAGCTATATTATATATAGGTATATATATGTGTGTGTATGATATCTCACCTGCATGTAAGGGATTTTTCATCAGTATTTGCATTGTTATTGTGAATCTTAGAATGAGCGACCAGGTCTGCTTTCCGAGGGAATGCTTCTCCACAAACGGTACAAGCGAAGGGTGTCTCACCCGTATGTAAACGCATATGAGCTAAAAGTGTTCTCTTCTGCAGAAATTCCTTTCCGCAGACGGTACACGAATGTGGAACTCTGCCATGTAGCCGGCCATGATTGACTAGCTCAAACTTCCTTTGGAAAGTTGCACCGCAGTCATGGCAAACAAATGGATGTAGGCTGCCGTGGAAGCGTGAATGCATCGTGAGATGATCCTTTTGCGAAAACGACTCCCCGCACTCCTCGCAGACGTAAGGTCTCTCCCCCGAGTGGAACTTACTGTGCGTCACCAAGTGACGTTTCAGAGGAAATGCTCTTCCGCATTCTTGACAGACAAACGGCCGCTCCCGCGTATGCACGCGAGTGTGTGTTACAAGATGATGCTTCAGGGTAAAAGATTTTTTACATTCGCGACATTGATACGGTCTCTCGGCGCTGTGCAACAGCAGATGCGTATGAAGACAATGTTTGTGCGCAAAACTCTTGCCGCAATGAATGCAAATGTGCGGCCGTTCTCCAGTATGTACTCTCGCGTGCGTCGTAAGATGATGCTTCAGGAGAAAGGATTTCCCGCATTCTGAACAGGAGTACGGCCGTTCCTTCGGTACACGGACCTGACTACCCATGTCCTGCTGCTGTTTGACTTTCGACTCGATTTGCGTTGTATTCACATGGGTCAAAACGTGCCCGAAATGGGCAGTATTGTCCGTTTGACTCGTCGCAACGTTATTCGCCGCAGTGGACTGATTAGACGCGGCGGCTGCTCTCTTCATCAGGATCTCATTGCACTCCTCTGCCGTAAGCTGCAACGGTCCGAGCGGTGTCATGAAGTGCTTACTCATGGCGTGCTTGTCAGCTGTGGTAAAAACTAAGGTGTTTGAGAATAAGGAAGGTGGGGGTGTAGGATGCGCCGCGTCGCAATTACATCCCCCTTTGTCACAGGTCAATGAAAATACGTCGTGATGCTTCTTGGTGCGAACGTGAGTGCCGTGGGTCGTTTGATTATGCGCTCCGCCCGTATGGCCATGATGCGTAGTAGGTGTTTGCTGACAACTCTCGTTCATCGCAAACATCGGACGACGATGGGTGGTAGCGGTAACCTTGGCCGGCTTGATGTCGACCTGTATCTTTTGACTGGAACCCTGATCTTGATTGTTGTTGACGGCGTAACTGATGTTGGTGGCGAGTTCGCTCTGGGCATTCTCTCGGGTCTCCGTCCCCGGCCCACCGAAGGACCAAGTATACCCGAATCCTGCGCCTGCATTCCCAGGAGTGGTGCACATATTCGTGAGGTTTGTGATGGATGGGTTGGTCTGGCTGGACGCGGCACTCGTGCGTTGTTCCGTGTCTGTCAATGCATTTTCCGCGCCAGCCCTTTCCACTATAACAAACTGATCCGTGGGAAATATTTTGAGAGGTTCCAAGTAAACGTACCCGTCACGCTCCAGTATCTCGGCCTTGGGAGTAAAACACGGGTGTCATATCTGTGCTCCAAGAGCGGCCGTCACAGGTCGACACAGGAGACGCTATACAGCGAGCTTGAGTATCCGCTCGCTGTAAATCCGCGAGGCCGCCCCCCCGGCTCACTCTGGATACACGGGCAACAACGGGGCTGCAAAGTGATGTTAATCCAGCAAAATTATCCCGCTACTCACGTCACAAAAGTGTGCAATGTGCTCCCGAGGCGTTTACGCCGATCTCGGGATCGCGATGCGTGCCCCGGGACCCGAGCCGAGCCGACACGACGTTGGGGGGTTGTGCGAGCCGCGGTGCGAGCCGTACGTCGAGAATATCGGAGGAAAGCGATCAAGCCCCGCCGTTTTCTCTTTTCAAAACGTGCTTCCGCGAATCTCTAGGAGTTGCTTTCGTACCGTTGTCGCGCGCCACTGTACACCAATAGACAGAAGCACGCCGCACGGCTCTTCTGTGTGTGTTGGAGACCATAAGTGATTTCCTCGTTTCGGTCTTTCAGGCCCGCGGCGTCCACGGCACGGGTCTTCAAAGACAACCTCCACCTTCCTCCCGCGGCGCTCCCACACTCTCACTCGTGCTCCGCGCACTTTTTCCGCGTTTCGCGCTCACGGAGCTACGTTTTGACTTGGACGCACGCACAGCCGACGGTCATTAATTTTACATAATTGCATATTTTATTGTCCATACAAACTAGCCTCACATATCGGCCATTTTATTTGTAAACTACCAAAAAACAATGTTGCCAATGTACGCGCGATTTTGGAGGGAGCGGAGTCGCCGATAGCGTCGCCGAGCGCTTCCGTGATGGCAGCACTTTTCCTTGTTTGCCGACGGCGCGGCTACGGCACACACTTTTTCCGCCATATTCGAACGCGCTCAGCACTCTACGTGCCTTTACTTTATTTACGTATATCGCGTATGTATACATTTTATTTTATCGCTATCTCGCCTATCTTTCAAATTTTTCTACAACGAGCTTTTGCATCTTTCGCATAAATATCAATAGACACCATCGATATTTTCGTATTTCCCAATATTTCGGAAATTATATATATATTATACTTTTTCCGCAACAACCTAAACAGCACGTGATCGATATTCAAAATCGGAGCATAAAATGTTTTAAAGACATTATTAAAATAAAACGTTGTGTCTAAAAGACATCTTAATGATGTTTTTAAATTGTCTTGATTTTGGACACAATGTGTAATTGTCATCGAGTTTAGGAATAGATAATTCCTCTTCTCTCTCTCTCTCTCTCTCTCTCTCTCTCTCATCTATTTTTTAAACAGGTGCATTATTATAATGCAGGCAATATACATTTTTTTAAATACAACTATATATATATAGGTATATATATTTTTTTTGTATGTATAAATTTAAGATAAAATAATGAAAACCGAATATATATAATAAAAAAATTTTTAATTGGCTTGACTATCATCAATTTAAAAAAATGATGTTAAAAAAATTAAAAACACAACGTATATTTGAGTGAGATGATTGAAAGATTTCATTCAATGAAGAAATGTAGTTTATTTTTTATAGCAATTAAGCTCCTCTTAAATTAAAGAATTTCAATTTTCTCGATCGTTAAATTTTAATTATATGAAACTTTTACGAAAAATTTTTAAAACTTTTAATAAAATTCTAAAATAATTTCATGACACATCGAATTTAAATAAATTAATAATAAATATAGATAAATGTAAATAAAAAATAAGAATAATTTATTTTGATATTCGTTAAATATAAAAATTATCTTTATTTTTTGGTAGAATAACGTATTTTTTAATTTATATTTTGATGGGCACGCGCGCACATACATACACACAATGTCATTTTCAACAATTAAATCAATTTGTTGAAAATTTTAATATTCATTTAAAAATACGAATTTAAATCAATCCATAAGTATAATGAGAGAGTTCTCATTGGACGTTAACTGTAATATGTAATGAATAATTTTGGCGGCAGCATTGTACGATTTATACGAGCGGTATGTAAATCGGCTCACAATCAATGGATGATCAATATCAAAGATAGACGTCAGCATTGGTGATTACGCCGATCGTTTTCGTCATTTACAGCCAGTATGCGGCGAGTTATGAGACGTAGCGGTCTCTCTAGGTGATACGAGGACAGAAACAATTTCATCGGACGGCTGGTCATCGCCGGTGCTAGTAGCGCGAACTCAGCAACTGATAAGCAAGCCCGTTCGTTAATGGCCCGGCATCATAGCTTGGCAAAAAGCCAATATATGCCGTCAGAATGAGAATCTTATAGTTTACGTTCATTCTCCTATATCCTATAACTTCCACCTTTGTATATGAACGTTTGTGTATGTTAAATCATCTCGGCCGTTGACATAGATTAGTTGACAGATGAATATTGTTTAAAGGTCATGCTCCAAACAAAATGCATAATAACGATTATATAATGTTACTTTAAAGAATTATTAATTATTAATAATAATATAATATATCGATCCTTTTTAATTATGTCTATAGGAATTTATTCAATGATATATGATCGGATAATTGCGTTTATCAAGAATATACTTTCTGCGCCGTATCTTGGGGCGATTCTTTCTTATTATAATTTACTCAATGATGACAGTCAGCTTCAGTTAATATATAATTATTCCAATTATATTTCTACAAAATCTCCGCAACAGCGCCACGAGACAGAGAATTTAGCAGCTTTCACGACGCATTTGAACAGTATCTACTTCCGACGGAGCGAAAAATGCACAGCCGCTTAAAGCGTGTATATAGCAGCGAAGTGCGACGGCAGATGCGTTATTTATGTAGCGGTTCGCTAAGTACGTTTCGTTGTGTGATACCTTCGATTCTGACGATCGGGGGTTACGGATCGCCGACGAGGGGTGGTGTATCCTCTGTATTCTCTCTTTTTACAAGGAAGAGCCGGCGCAGAGAAGCGGGGTGGAGGACCCGAATCCTGAGGCAGTGGACCGTGAATGCGATACCAGCTTCACGTAGTGCGTTGGTGTAGGAGCGGGCGAGGGGGTGAGAGGGGAAAGAGAGGGGAGGGGGGGAGAAGGGGAGAGGTGCCGTCAAACAACCGTTCGTCGATCGTCCCTTCTCGGTACACTCATACTCATCCCTGCGGTTTCGTCCTCCTCGCGTCAGCAGCAGGGGGTGATTTGTACGTATCAATTATGTCTTCCCGCTACCAAGGGACCATCGATGATGTCGCTATCTCTCCTATATCGCGATCCAATGATCCAATGATTTTCACATTGAGATTTTAACATTCATCAAAGTCTTTCAAAGTATAAATTACAAATGATAAATCTTGCGATTCTTGTTAAACATCTGCACGACATTTAAATTTCACATGTATAAAATAAAAGGGTAAAGGAAATTATTTATAATAATCCAGACCAAAAAAATTAAATTAAATTCCGAAAAAGAAAAAAGCGAAAAAATTAGATATCATGTATATCATATTTTATGTTGTATATAAGGTAAAGAACTTGAGTAATGATAGCGTAATCTTAAATAATATAAATATATTTTTTGTTATTACATGAGAGATATTTCTAACTAACATATATAAATATATTTTATATGAATTCTTTTATAACACATTAATCTATTTATGTGTTCAGTGAATTATGATAATTGTTTCTCAACTGATAGAAGAAACTGGCCGGCATCCTTTCTCTGACTTAATTAAAAGATGATTACCTAATGAGGGTCATCGATGTTCTCTGGAAAATGGGCTCCAATCGTGGACAAGGTCTACACACAGGGTGTCCTAACATTTTCGTAAGTTTTTTCAGCTACGAAATTCTAAAAAGAATCTCATATCTTATATAACATTTAATTCTTTCGTGAACACGTTTCAATAATTTAGAAATATTATATCTAATAAAATGTAATATTATATGTATTTTATTTAAATATTTGTTTACAAGTATTTTAATATAATCGCTGAATTTTGTTTTGTAAAAAATGCCTGTCACTTAATCACCTAGCTGTCATTTAATATGTTTCACAATAGAGATTAGTCGTAAAAGAAAGAAACAGATAATACTAAAATTCTGTTATATCAATATACACATTAAAGGCTTGCACGAAAGTGACGTTATAGGCACAATTGAAATCGCATTACGATTATATTCCCAAGAGTACTCTAGAGCGGCGTACACATACCGGCATACACATGTCGTACTGTTCGTTTGAAAATCTATAATACTCGCCTAGGGGACAGCTCGCCATTGGAGATGCTTTTTCTATTCTCGAGAGAGAATGCGACATTGGCTCCTTTGATCTGGCGAACGAATCTACTTAAGCTTTTTAAGCTTTCGAAAGTAGCAAGCACGCAGATGGTTATGATAATAATAATAATTTGATCTTTAGTCTCCGGTGGTCCCGGCTTCTTCGCGCGCGCGCGTCTGCATACCAACACGCACATTTACCAATCTACATATACTAACTTACGCACACTGCAACGTACACCGTACACGTCTACGTGAAGCTGACGACTCTCAGGGCCGATTGTGGACAATACGAGTGGATGGAGTAGCTTCAAAATCGATCGAGAATTAATCCGGCGCTATCGCATCTTGCAACTGTTGTCCCATTGTCTCATCATGAACTAAAATGAAAGGGCGGAAGGGAGAGAGATGCGGATAAATTGCTAGAAGCAAGATGGTCGATTTTCTCTCTTCTTTTCTTCATTCATTCGGGAATTCTCGGTATTTCTTCGAAATCTTTACGCCTAGTCTTCCTCTTGCGCTTAGCGCTGTCTCGATAGATTCTGCAGAATTTCGAGTTCTCACTGTAATTTTGTTTAGCGTTCGCTATATTTTTTTTACTCGTTATACTCATTTTTAGTAGAAAGCTTAAATTAAAATCAAAATAAAATTTTGTTTCTGCCTCTAAATCAATCGAAATGATTGCGCTCGCCATTTTATATAGCAATTGTATCACTGCAGATATATAAAATAATCGCGTCTATCGCTTACAGTACATTATTCGACGCAAACCAGGAACTATGCGTTCCTCCCTCTTCCCTAACGCCTCGACCACTTGTGGTTTTAACTACCTTCGACGATCCTTCCTAGCGCCGAGTGCCGAGTGTGGCGAGAATTATGTAATTATTGCACGGTAATTGTCGCGAAAAATGGCAGCTGCCTGAATGCCTTAAGTGTCGTGATGAAAGCAACCCGAAAAGGGGGTCAACTCTACGACTCGCCGACGAGATACTACTCTGCGAGGGTGGTAGGTCGATGCAAGCTTCTTGTCTATGTTATTAACTTATTAATATATATAAGTCATTATTGAAAAATAAAAATGTTAGCTTGCAAAAATAGATTGCGAACAATTAACAAATTTAATTGTTGCAACTTGATCGAAACTTTCACATTAAGCCTTTTGTTATGATTAAATTTAAGTAAATCGTATCGTGCATATCATACGTTTTGCGAACTATTACTGAAATTGTCGCGACTAAAAACTGTATCAGTGTTTCAAATTTGGAAGATTAACAAGTTGTCTAAATTACAAAAGTTTCTCTCATAAAACATTTTATATTAAATGTTTTATTGAGAAAATTTCACGTCGTCAAGATGATATAAAAGTTATACTGTATATATATAGGATATTCCAGACCAATTGCATTCTCTTTCAATCACGGATTGGTATTACCTAGCTCACTACCAGATTCGTAACGGTGATTAGTAAGGAAGCGTTCAAACGCTTTCGATGCTGTCCGACAGAAGGCCAAGGGAAGGTCTTCAGCGTTTGAGACTAGGACAACGGGGATAAATTTGGTCCAACTTGCTTTACCATCCTCAGGACCATGCATATAAAGACGGTGACTCGTTCGCGAACCCTCGAAAGCTGAACAATCGCGTACGGGGCAGGAATTACCTCCTCACTCACAGACCCTCATCTCACCCTTCGTCCCGTCTTTTCGCCTTTTCGCCTTTTGCTTCGTCGTAGTCCTTTTCTTCTGTTACACCTCCTTTCGAATTGTGAACACCAGGCGCGACATATACATACATACACTCTCGTACCTAAAGTTAGGCCCTTTCGATTCAAACATTTGTATTTAGATAATACAATTAACGTGCATTATTAATTGTTGAGAACATTTAAAATCTATTTTTATTCTACATTAACTTAATATATAATTTCTCAACGCTATGCTCAACATTTTATATCAAATAGAATTGTTTTAAATTCTTAGGTACAATTTCAAATGATAATCTACGATCTGGATGCGATGCATTCGATTTAAAAGTATGTAACTTTAGACGCGGAACTATACATGGCGCTTCTTATACTCTTTCTCACGCTATAGACTGCCCGCACCTTTTCGTTTTGTCCTCCAACGGTGCCGGAGTCATAACTACAAGGGCTACAATAAATAGACACCACCGCCGCCTTTTCTCTGCCACCTATTCGTTCCGCCAAATGACTTTGACCACCGCGATTTCACGCGCGTAAAATTGTCGAATGGATTCATAAAAATATGAATTTTCTTTGGATATCTTGCATTCGTCGAATGATCTTACGTCGCTTTATCTCTTTATACAAAGGCTATTCCTTCCAAGCCCTATTGAAAATTGATTTCTTTTACTTTGCAATTATTTATACATTGTCTCCTTAACTTTCATCAACTTTTAAATGTAGCGCATAGATAACTATTTCTTGCGCATCCGGAACATGTGATTATTATATCATCTTATTCTAATCATACATTTATTACTTTGCTTTTTTCATGTAAAAATTCTTCATAATAATTAATTTAGCATTACATGTATATTTTGCAATATCTAATAATTATTAGCAGTAAATTTCTATTATATTTAATTATAGAACAAGGTATTCTAAGAAATTTTCTACAATAAATGGTAAAATAAAATTGTACGTAGCGAGGTTTCGAAATAGATGCGCGTAACTACGAGAAGAATCATTCGCGCGACATGAATGCGAAAGAATGAAAGAATGAAAGTTTATCGCGCATTTCGCGCGAAAAGTGACCTTTGATCACACACCAATGATATGATGTTTCAGAATTCGCTGCAATCAACGAGCGCAACAAGCACAAGTTTGTCGTATGATTTTGCATAATTTATTGCTGTTGAGGGATTCGCCGATGTACTAACGCGTAACGTGTAATGTTTTATACGATAATAATGATGCGAGAGAGTAAAGAACGCAGGTAGAAGTAACTTGATTGTTAAATACCAAATAGCTCTTTGTCTCTATATATTATACATTTCACATCGTTTGTTGCCTATTTTATATCAGTATAAAACTATATGTAATTTTATATAATAATAGAAATTTGTTTTATCAATCTGGTATCGAGTTTTTCTTGACAAAAATTAGATCAGACATTTTTTACAATTATTAAATGTACGTTTATAGTTCAATTTTTGCTAAAATTTATAAACTTAGGTAATTTAAATAAACTTTGACAAACAAAAGTTTGTCAATTATTATTATTTATAGGAAGTTGGTTGTTGAAAATATTTGATATTATCGAACACTTGTAAATAGGGAGCTCTTATGGCATTTGTTGTAAACGAAAAAATCTAAAGGATCCAAAAGGATCAAAGCGTACGCCTGTTTAGCGATTAATTTTGAAGTCACCCTATATATATTTCGATTACATGCGTGTTTCGCGATAAGTGTGCGGAAGGTCGCGACCAATATCAGCATATTATGTCACAGTGCGCTTTTTCGCAATTCGCCGCACATGGTTACGTCGAAATCTCAAATATCGATGACCGCAAGGTGCAGTGACGCGCGGTGATGGATGCATCAGCGGGACCAAAGCACCAGCATTTACCACAGTCGTTCGAAGGCTGAAAGAAATCGACGGTGGTTCTGCAGCTTGGGCTACACCGAAGGGAAAAGAGAGAAATTGGCGACGTAAGACGGAAAGAAAGAGCAAGACCGCGCGGAGATTAGATCCCGTAGGATGAGTATAGGTGGGATTGGATTTGGCAGGCGCGCGCCTTGCTGGCGGTAGATGCCGGTGATGCGAAGGAGTAGGACAAGAAGAAGGGGCGGGGGATGGAGTTTGGTTGGTGTCCGAACGGCGGAGAGGCTGCAGAAGGGAAACTCGGAGTAGGGTAGACTATACAGGGAGTACATGGAGTAGAGCAAGACGGGAGAGAGTAGCGAAGAGACGAGAGAGAAGAGAGGCCGTAAGTGACAGAACGGTGGTGGTATAGGTGAACTGCTGGACAACCGAACCACCCGAACTGTACTCGGCGGTATTTAAGGGAGAGCCGCGAGCGTAGCGCGCCAGTTGTTAGTACGGCCCGTTGATGCCCGTTAGCTTTCGCGAACTGACACTCGCTGGATTGTCATGTCGCGTGACGCCGAGTGCAATTAAAACGCCGAAAGTATTGCAAGAAAAAAAAATATATATATATGTAAATACTTAATAAACAGTTTCAATAATCTCGATAAATAATCTCAATAAATCTTAATAAAGAGATCGCTTAGTGACGCTTAAGGGGAACCAAATAACCACATGACCGTTCATCGTTTACCTTCGTCGATTTATCTTCCAAACTGTCGCGATATAATTAAATATCTTTTTTCGTGGTAATAAACACGATTGTAAATACACAAGTGTGAAGTTAAGTTAAGTGAATATACGAGGGACTACGAAATTTTTCTTTAAATAACCGGTGACGGTGCGCGTTATGTGAAACTACATATGGCATTATTTGAACTCTTCATACTTGAAGATCGAAAGAATTTAACATTTTTTAATCTCGGATAGTACAGATGAATGTGTCAAAAAGGTATGAGCATGTTTGTTGTTTATTTTATGTAACTTTAAAAGAAACTGAACTTTTTTAAAAATAATTTTAATTTTTTATTTTTAATTTCATTCATGATGTGTTTTGATATTTAACAATATTGTATTTAATAATAACAGTCAAAAAAATAAGAGGAAAATTTAGTTAGAATAATCATCATCGCTTTGAACGCGCGAAATATGTAGATAAATGTAAAAAGAAAGATAAAAAAGATGACGTGATCTTCTCGTGATAGCATTTCCACGAATAGCGTAAATACAAATATATATACCACATTACGCATTAGTAATGTTGAATTTATATGTACATTTTCTTTAATGTACACATTTATTATTAAAATAATTTAATATGTTACTTTATAAGTGACAAAAGAAGATATTGTTAATATCTTCTTTAGTTAGATTAGTAAAATAGGATATTTGAATAATTCATCTTAAATTAAAAATGCAAGAAAATGTTAAAGACGTAATTTGTATCTTAAGAAACAAATATAACTGAAGAATTGTTTTTAAGCTTATATTTGGGTTATTTTCTAATATAACATACACACTCACCCCGCGCGCGCGCGTGTGCTTTTCTTATTTCAATAAAAGAATTTTGATTTCTTACGTCTTATTTATTTTCTTTGATAATACATAAATTAAAAAAAAATTTTTTATATCTATACATTACAGTAGAATTAGTAGGCGATCTGTTTCTATTGAATCACCTTGTATATCGACCATAGAATCTTTAAATGAAATTAGGTAGTGTCTATGGCTCCACCGGATTGCTACATGCGTAAAAATATTGTCTTGTAACTTTGTGTTTGAATATATAATTGCTAGAAAGTAGAAAACTATTATATAAATGTATATAAATTTAATTTTTAAATAATAATCGATGTAATTCATAATTCTCAAAAATATGTTATTATACATCATTAATACTTGTGAATTACAAAACTATAATAAATTGTAAATTTTTTATCGGATTTCTAAATTTATAATTTAACTGAATATTGAAATTAATTACCGCTTATAGAATAAATAATAATTTCATAATAATTGAATATAATTGAAACAGTTGATGGAATCAATCACTGGATGAAACCGTCAACTCTTTCAATTATATTCAATTATTATTAAATTATTATTTATTCACCCCAAAAAAGTTTTTGCTCGTTTTATTGGCCTGATTCTGATCTATTTTATCAACTAAACATATTTCGTGAATATATTGTACACGTATCTATTTATCTTTTTTCAAGCGGAGTTTAAAAGAAACTATAGATAATAATTTGACAAAAAATTGTATTCAATGTAAAAGCAATAATTAAGTATTAACATTTAATCAAAATTAATATTGTGTCAATATTTTAAATTATTTTCAGAATTTATGTAAAAAAACCAATAAGAAGATACAATTGGTTATCATTAATTATCACTGCAATACAAATTATCATTGTAATTTGTAGAAGATATTTTTCAAAGTGCACACAAAAATTAATCATTTCATGTAAAAATATTTTTCGTTATACAAGATATGTCAGAAATAAGAAAAATATTGAAATATTTGGCAGGACGAAAGGCATACACACATCCTTATAATTATTTTGAGATAGGGAATGTAGATGACAAAGTCTTTTCTTGTACCGAAGAGTTTTGTAAATTTAATTTCATGCCTATATTTCTGTTGTAAAAAAGATTTTAGTATTATTTTGATAAATCCTACGTTTATATACATATATTTAAGAAGTATTACAAAAGCCTGATGGCTTTCTGGAATAGGTACTCGATGCTACTGCTGGCATTGGGGTTGATTTTCACGCAATCGTCTGTCGGGGCTTTCCCACGTGAAGGTACATATTTTGCACGATCGAATGTTTCGTCCGAATTCACCGGGACGTCTTCCAGTCACAGTATCTCGGTCATCAGGATCTTGTCCGATGGACGATTGGAACGGCTCATCCGGTGGCCCGGAGCTTGCGTCAAGGAGATTATTGTCAATTGGGGGTGGGCACATTTTTCTTTACATCTTAATATAATTGCAATGTTGAAACAGACATTAGATCGAGTCAATTTCGCTATATTGCAAAGCAAGCTCATAACAAATTGCTCTATTGTATTAAACTCGAGATCTGAACTCGCCGACATTGCTCCTGCTTGTATGCTTTCTTTCACGAAACGTGTCGAGTGTTTCATAGTAACAAAGGCTAGCGTGTAGCAACCTGTATCCTCTTTCCTGAAATAACATTTTCTTGGATATAGGCAAATCTCTTCTTCCTATCCCACCTACCGTCCCCTCCCCCGTATGTAGTCGGGAGGATTGAAGCGGGAACTCGGTTGGCAAGCACGAAAACAATGCCGCCTTTCACTATTGCCAATATACGTGGAAGCTTGACTGTTATGTATACATTTAGCGTCGGTTAGGTCTTTCAAATGCCACCCATCGCTCCAAAGAACGCTGATACAGTCTAATGGAACGGTCTCTATGAATCCTTGTCAGACATAATAAGTTTCAATACAATTGTAATACACGCGCGTTAACGCCTACGGAAAAGGATCAATGCCCGAACGAATGAATAAATTCTACATTTTATTTCATCCTCTTTGCCGGATTATATAAAGAAATTCTTTTCAATAATTTTTATTAATAACCTATTTTCCAAATAAAAAATCATTATATGTGTTAATATTTCCATATGTGCTAATATCTATATAAATAATGCAAAAATTAAGCAGAAAAATTGTGCAAAATTATATGGCAAGTTTTGACAACTTTGCGTGACAATATTTTCATATGTAATTTTCTTTGTTAACTCTGTATATAGAAATGTATCTAGAAAGATATTTTAAAAACACCTTCTTTTCAAAAATATATAATTCTTTTAAATAATAAAAAATAAGAAAGAGAGAAAAAAAGAAAAAGTCATTGTTACATAAAAGATATCAATAATCAATAATGTGATTAACAAAAATACCAGTATTTTAAAGATGCAATGAAAAAAAAAAACAACATTTTTTGCTTTAAAACTGAATAAAATAAGGAAATAATTTGATTGTATAGAACATAATAACGCGATAATAAAGTATAGTATATAAAATGCATTAGTGTAATTGTTATTCCATTAGATTTGAAAGCCAAAAAAGGGGATACAATTTATCATGTTTATTCGTTGACAGTAACCGCAAAGCCAACCAAGCTCTTAAGCCGAAAAGCGGCAAGTTAAGTAAGCAAGGATTAGGTTCTGCGACGAGCGGACGTCCTGGAACCTCTACGTAGGGATCGGATTGGCCCCTTTTGCGCTGGACCTAAACGCGAGTTCGGTAGGTCGCCGTCCTGTTTTACTCTCCTAGATGGGACTCATCTGCTGATGCTCTCACGAGGATACCACGGAATACCACAACCACGAAGCGTCACTTTGCACTTAAACGCAGGACGAAAGCTCTTTTACCGTCGTGAAGAAAGTGCACGCCCTGATTTCCGCTAACCGTCCCCTCTTTCCGAATTTGCTCTTATCGTGCTCGCCTAAATAATTTATTGAAAAAATTTAATTTTGTTTTTTTTCCCTTTATATTACGTTATGGTGTTAAATGTATCATAAATTGTGCAGCTATGGCATTGATATAAACCCACCGGCAAAATTATTATATACCTAAACATTTTTTATCAATTTCGAGACAATAAAGGGAAAATTAATTTCGTTCTCACATAGTTGAATTGTTTGCAAATGTTACGTCTAATTGTTTGACAATAATTATTTCGATTTTTTTTAATTAAAAAGCAATGCTACGAAAGAAATAGATTTGAATAATTAGAGCGTAAAATATTTCTGAAATTTTAATATTTTTTTAAATTACTTTAATGCGCAACAAAGCATTTAACTGAAAATTAGATTATAATAACGCGTGTTCTCTCGATAGAAACACAAATGTGACACTGCGACAAGTCTGGCTTCGAAAGTCAAACAGAAAGCTGCAATTGATATATGCCGGTGAAACATTGACTGACTGCATTGACGAGAAGCTCGCGCGGTGGGACGACAGCGAGTGTTTACCCAGCTCTCCCGCTGTCTATCGCTATCACGATGACGGTGACGAGGTGTCGTCGATCGAGGTGTTCCAACTGGACGGTAAGGACATTTCGAGGATACCCCGTGACCTCTCTTGGCTATTGTCGACATCGGAGCTTCGTCACCGGTGCGACCGTATGAGGATGCGAGTACGAAGCCAAGCCATGGCCCAATATCGACATAGGTATGACCTAGCTGAGGATGAACGAGTATACTTCCCCGAGCTAACTTGCTTAATCCTTTAGTTAAATAAGCGAAGGGAGAGGGCAATGCCCATTGTACAAATGTATACCGTTAAAATGAGCTCTCTTTGTAACAGAAAATATGCAAAATCGACGAACGCGACGGCGACAAGTAATGGAAAGCAAAGTCGGAGTCGGAATCGGATTCGAAGGGAATTATTCATGATACCAGGAACGCAATGGTGCGGTCGCGGTGACCGTGCTACCAAGTACACCAATTTGGGCGGCTTCGGCATGGCCGATGCCTGTTGTCGCAAACACGATACATCTTGTCCTTTTTACATACCGGCGTTCGAAGCGCGTTATGGCGTTTTCAATTGGAGAATTTCGAGCATGATGCATTGCGCTTGCGACGAGCGGTTAGTAATTAAATGAAATTATTCCATAACACACGGTCTAAGAGTATAGGTAAATGCTTGTGAGAAAAAAATGCCGATATATCCAAAAATAGAGTTCTAAATATTCAATGTAATCGATGTAATCGGATGCATCGAATGCCCGAATAATTTTATCTAATCTTTAGAAAATATTCATTGGATCTATTTAACGTAATATGATTTAACACATACGTTTTTCAACGATAACGTATACTGTGCGACAAAAAAGTATTTTTTTAAAGAATATAATAATATTCAAATACAAATTGTTTTTAGTATCTCTGGTGTTAGTTGACAAATGTCACAGAATTTATTATCAATGCACATAACAATTTCAACGCTAATTATGACAATTGTCGCATTTTAATTTGAGATTTTTTTCGTATATTACAGATTTCGTACATGTTTGAAAATGGCCGGCACTGCATCAGCAGATTTTATTGGTAAAATCTTCTTCGACATACTTCAATCAAAGTGCTTTATTTTGAAACCGCAGAAAGTGTGCGTGAAACGATCCTGGTGGGGTAAATGTCAGCATCATGAATACCGAAAGCAAGCCTACGTACGAGATAATGTTCCTTATTAAAGGTGTACAGCGCGTCGTCATAAAGAAATAAATCAAGTATTCTTCTTCCGGGGATGTCAATAGCAATTCTCAGGGATGTAATATTTTGTCGAATACTTATAATATGTCAAGAGAAACAGAGAAAGAAACTCGATTAATAAATCGAGAAATTATATCACCAAAGATTGACAATACATCATAATTCGTCTTCGATATACGGAGAATCGTTATATTAAATCTGCCGATAGCTATACGTTAGACATCTCGAATTATTATATCAGAAACGAAAGGATCGTATGCTAAAGTACGATTTTATCAACTTATAATTAATTCTCAAATGCGTCTTTTTCAACAAAATCGAATAAGTGAGCTATCTCTGTTCTTCCAATAAGTACAAAATATTTTAAAATATACCTCACTTAAAATGAAAACTGTATATTGGCTCGTGTTTTAAAATAAAATAGGAATTATAGAAAAAATAAAGGTTAATAAACAAGCAAACAAAGATGTAATATAATTATATAAGTTTATTCAATAAAATTAAAGCGGAATCTTTCGACTTTACTAAGTCTTCTTCAGCCGCAAATACAAATTAATTTTTAAATTATATAATTAATTACATTAATCCAAGTCGAAGTACACGCTGCAACATTTCCTTTCCGGTGTGAATCATTCCAAGATTTAAAACTAACAATAAGATTGTTGTTTGAAGTCATCGTTTTTCATTTCTTCTTTTGACAATCTTTGATAGTTAGATTCGATTATTGATGGGTCGATTTAGAGTTAGAGTCAAAAAGACGAACGAATAGAACCTCGTGGTTGTCGATCCATCAATAATCGAATCTAACTACCAAAGATTGTGAAAAAGAAGAGATGAATAACGCTATAAGTTTCAGACAACGATCTTTATAGTTTTAAATATTGGACACTATGAAAAGCAAACGTTGCGTGTTCTCCGACTAGGAGTAATGTAATTAATTATAATTTGAAAATTTGTATTTGCGGTTGAAGAAAACTTTTAGTAAAGTCGAACGTTCCGCTTTAATTTTATCAAATCAAATTATATAATTATATTATATCTTTGTTTACTTGTTTATTGGCCTCTTCCTCTAATTTCTATTTTATACCTTACTTAATATTGTATTGTAAAATATTTCATAAGAATAAGAATTTTTCGTATTTGCGCACATTTTATAAATGTTTATTTAAATAAATATTTAAATTAATTTATTTTCTTTCTACGCTTAAAAACTTGATTGCAGAAGTCGAGTGTAGATATCGGCGGTCCTTATATAGAGTTATATATATATATTAAACTTGTAGATAGAATTCGTTAACTTTTGAATATTACTAGCAAACTATTAATGATCAAATTAATAGAATCGTGAAGCTAAGCTTTTGTTTATTAATACATTTGTGAAACTTTTATATAACATTCCAAAAATGTAAAAATATACAAATAAGAAGAGATAATAAACTGCGTATATAATCAATATATTTAGAATATAGCTTAGAATTTTTGATGAAAAATTATTAAAATATATATTGTATGTATTTATGTTAGTTACAAACTGTACGAGATAAATCTAGATTTGATTGAGATTAATAATTCAATTTCCATTCTATTACCAATATCCGTTCTAATACGATTCGACGCAATAATTTGTAACAAGAAAATTATAGAATAACTCACTAAATTTTTTTTCTTTTTTTTTTCTAGAATCATATTCTTTGATTATATCCGATTTTCCCACAATTTTAATCATAATTTTTTTTTATTATTCTTAATATCCTCCAACATTAAATATCTTAATTATAACTAATTATTTTTGAATTTCTGTTTAAAAAGAGAGCAAATAGTAAAGTTAAAGCGCACGTACTAAATAAAGTCAGATTTTGTTATTTATATATTTTTATCACTTTTTAATTCACGGAGAAGTCTATCGCTTTTAGCGTGGTACATATATATAAATTTATCAGAAATCGACAATTTCTTATACAATTAATGTGTTCACCAAGATAAGTATCGATAAACGTGCTGCCGGTATGTAGTACAACCAGCGCAATCAGCTAGTAGATTCTAAAATAGTCACGTGGTCGGTCGCGTCTGTTTACACGTGCGCGTGACACTACCGCAAGTGCCGCATGTGATGTGACTAAGATTTACTCCGTTAAATTATTATGATAAGATTTTAATTTGTTTCAATATAAAACAGCTTATAATGTAAACGCGCATGTTTATCTGCTAGAATATTAAAGAAAAACAGTATTCGGAGTTAGCAACGAGATGTCAGTAAAAAAAATGACTAAGCATGCGAGGTTATATGAGAATGCATAACGCGTATGAGAAGAGTGTGAAACGAGGCAGTGTGCCTTGTTTACGTACAGAACTGAATCTTGCTCTCACGTTGCACGGTGGCCAGAGTTTCAGGTAATACTTGAAATACCTGAATACTACTTCAAATTTATTTATGCAATAAATAATAATATTGTACGATTCAGAAAATTATATATTATCCTTCTCAACAATTTAGAAATATACGTATGATTAGTGATTGATATTAAGCTTATTATGTCTTCAATTTGTTTTCAAAATTTTTAAATGCTAATGACTGTATTTCAGGTGGACAGCTTGCGACTCTGGGTACAGAGGTATCTTTAACGGATGCATTTGGACTTTGTCCCAGAATAAAACCCATCTTTTATACACTGTGCAAGGACATTTAAAAGATTCTGTAAACTATGATAACATTCTGTCCGAGTATTTTAGGCTGTCAGTATCATTACGGGAACATTATAAAGAATGGGCAGAAGCAGATGCACATTTTCAAAGGTGTTTAAATGAAAATAATGCTGTCCGAATACTGAAGCAAGACATTGTAGAGAATTTGTTCTCATTTATCTGTAGCTCTAATAATAATATATCAAGGTACACTTTTAAAAAATTACATGATAAAAATAAATTTATATTACCCGCTAAACATTTATTTGTTTCAGGATATCAAATATGGTTGAAAAATTGTGTTCATTATTTGGCCGTAAGATATGTTCGATTGAAGACAGAGAATATTATGATTTTCCAACGATAGAAGTTTTGAAGGAAAAAAATGTAGAAAGTATATTAAAAAGAGAAAAATTCGGCTATCGTGCTGCATATATAGTTAATGCGGCAGAACGTTTATCAGCATTGGGTGGAAAGGACTGGCTCCTAAATCTACAAAGGGAGAATGTTTCTTATCGCGCTGCCAGAGAACAATTGATGACTCTGCCAGGAATTGGTCCTAAAGTTGCCGATTGCATATGTTTAATGTCACTAGATCATTTAGATGCTATACCTGTTGATACTCATATTTTTCAAATAGCACAGGCAAATTATTTACCGCATTTAAAGAAGCAAAAAACAGTTACACCGAAAATTCATACTGAAGTAAGCAATTATTTACGAGAATTGTGGGGCCCATTAGCTGGATGGGCACAAGCTATTGTATTTTCTACAAAAATCAATATTAAATCTAAATCAATTGAAAAGCAAAAACGCAAAAACAGCGATAATAAAAATTTGCAAGCAAAAACATTTAAAGTGATATGATCATTATGAAATTGTCATGTTTATTTTAACAAATAATTAGGTTATGCAAAACAATTTTATCTAATAAATCTGTAAAAAAAAAACGTATTATGTTAATTGTGCCTTTTTACCAATAAATTATTTTGCCAAAATTGATGAATGACAATTAAATATTTTTTGATAATGTATTCAAATATATAAAAAAATGATAGTTATCTATCTTTACTAAGAGAAAAGAAATAATTTTCGTTTTTAATATCCAACGCGTCAAGAAGTATTAAAAGATCTCAAGATGATTGTTTGAAAACTTTAAGAAATTATTATATTTTATTTTATATTCATATACAGAATTTTTTATTTTCTTTAATAGATATTTGTACATACAGCAATTACTGTAATTTATCAAATATAAATCAAATATAAAATTGAGTACATTTTATAATAGAAATTATTTCTAAAGTTTTCCAACATATTTTATCACAGGCCTAAGTATTATTAAAAATGTTTTTTCTTCTTTATTCCAACTCCTATAAGGGCATAATCATACTCATCTAAAATAATGTATTTTGCAGGAAATTCAATGTCTTCTTCGTTATCGCAATCTGCCAATACACAGTAATTATAATTATTTATATGCGTTACTCATTTATCGATACAATTACAAAAATAACAAAAATAAAAAATAAAAATTACCGATCGATTTTTGTAGTATATCAGCAAAGATATTTTGAGTAAGATAACGCAAACTAGGAACTGTTTTTGCTAAATGTGCTTTTTGTAAAGGCGATAAAACAGAGAGACAAGTAGTTTCCAGAGAAACCGGTATTGAGCAACTATAAGTTAATTTCATTACACATTGAGCCATTGTAGAGCTTATCAATGGGTAAAGCGTAACGTTGTTCAACTTCGTAAAAGCCACACCTATAAAATGGCCAAAATTCTATTTCTAAAAAGAAATACTTGGTAAAATGTTTCACTACTTACCCAAGGGCTTTCGATTTATAAAAAATTGTAATGTACCAGTCCAAGCATCCAGATGTATCCCTACCAAGTTATCTTGACCAAAGGTTGTCCCATATTTACACATCTTACCATCATGTTGTAAATATCCTTTGTACGAAAAACCCCAAGATTCTTTATCTCGACCGAGCAAGGCACAAAAATGTTCACTTGCATTGTGAAGCTCTGCATTTGCAGTTCCAACACCAACCATCTAACAATAATAGAAATTATGTACATTAAAATGACAAACCTCTTCCTTAAATGTCTATTGCGAGAAGATCTATTGTCAATGCAAGAGTAAGCTGTCTTACTACGTCAGTGCCATAGATATGCGTTATCATTAAAATCTCCCAATAATGATGTCTTCCTTTCTCTAAAGGTTTGTTACCCCTTGCAACAGCTGTGCCAGTGCTATATACAGGATGAAACGTAATATTTAAGTTATTGTCTGATAATTTAATTGTTTTTGAGGTTGAGTGTTTCTCATCCCAAGTCCATTCGTGCTTTGATGAAACAAAGTCTGAAAGAAAATGCATAATTATTGTTTTCAAATCTACTATTGCTTTCCTAAAAATAAGAAATAATAATTTAATTTCATATAATCTAGACAATAATTTAACCATTTTCTGTCTTTGGATGTTGATCCTTTGTAATTAAATCCATATTTTGTGAATTATATTTCGGTTATTGCATAGAATTTATATGTTCATCGTATATTTTCTAAGGTTATATTGACTAATATAAGTTGTAAGTAATAGTATTGACAGATCCATCCGTTCTTTGCTATGCTTCTTCCCCGTCGTATTTTTTATGATCGTTAATACTACTTATGCTTATGAAATTACGCGGAAAAAAGTTTCGAAAATGCACTTGCAATTAAAGCCCATGGACATAGAGCCATACTCCACTTAACGCTATGTAATAATGTATGTATACGTACCTCGAAGCATTTTTTTTATTGGTCAATTCATTCTCCGATTGGCCAATCAAACGCTTCGAAGCATTTTGTCCAAGTGGACCGCGCAGCCGGAAATAGTTACTAGGAACAAACGTTTCAAAAATCATGTTTTCCGCACGCTTTTTTCCCTAGATACGCGATCGCTGAAATGGTGGCAAATTCGAATACTCGTTCGAAATACGTATCTAACAATTTTTTAGAAATGATTGATGTAATTCTAAAGATAATATTATCTTTTTTTTTTGCGTCATACTTTTCACTTTGGCTGCGTTCCGTTTGGCGCTTACAGATGCAGGTTTACAGCGCCAAGAGGAACGCAGCCTTTGTATCACGCTTTAATATCCTTCGATTTGCTCTGGTAAATTGCGCAATTACAGCTGACGTGTTCGTTACAAATTAATTTTCAAAATATTACATACTTGTGTATAATTTACTTTATAGACATTAAAAAAAATAGATAAATAAATGGGAGACAGTTTGTATAGAGATTTCGCATACAAATTAATAAACGGTACACTTGGAATTTGCTCGTTCGAGCTTTCAAAGGCTAGAGCTCTCGACTCGCAAATAGGCTCGAGTCCACTCGAGTCATCGTCTCAGCGTGTCATATCTCGAGGCGAGACCTTATCCCTTATCATAAGAGTATACACTTCTGTATACGCGCGCACGTGTGTATGTATGTACGTACGTGTAGTGTATGTATTTTCGGCAGACGTTCGACGTCGTTCGTCGACTGCTCGTCGACGGACGTCCGCGAGTAGGGAGTCCTTAACGCCACACACTCGTGTTCGATTCGAAGGGGACAGTCGTCGCGGTGACTCTCATCATGGGACTCTGAAAAGCCATACTCTGCGAAACTCGAGGTCTCGAGAGCTGGAGCTCAGCTTAATGTGTGTCTCTCGCGGTTAAGCGATATCGGTACGAACACTCTCGACACGGAGGAGTAAGCCCGATGTAAATGCATGCTGGTACACTCTCTCATCGCTGAATTATATAATGTATATGCATGAGTCACGATTTGTCACACGGCGTGAACTGCTGACGGCAAGGGTGGGGAAGAGGGGGGAGGGGGGGGGGAGGACGGACGGGACGTGCAAATGTCAAAGTCATACGGTGCGATATCACCTCGTCGCTACATGATAAATAAAAATAGTCGGCTCATTTTCTCTCTCATTCTCTTCGAGAGCTGGCTTCCGCATCGCTCGCATCGCTTGCACTCGTAATTAACACGCCGAGATATCTCGGCTTAATTATATGTTTATATCCCGTTAGGAATTGATTGTTTCTTTCCACGTTGATTGTGCGATGCGCTGCCATTAGAATTCCGAGACGGAGAGTACGTCCGACTTTGAGCTCGCATTGACATTGTCCTTTGTACCCTTACATTATCGTGTTAAAATCGTACTAATAAAATAATCGTGCTCGTATTCGTAGTCGTAAAGAAGAATCTTTTAGAATTAAATAATTTGACAGCCGAATAATGTATTTCAATGACGCTCCTCCCTCTAGATTGTCCTACATACGATAGACTCAATTGTAACAGTAATTGTTTTCAAGTTGCAAGTAATAATTGACGTGTACCTTTCTAAAAATTAATTTTATTCGAATCTAATTAAATCCTATGTGTGAGCTGTATTATGTGTGTGAATTATGTTTTTGTAAATTTTGCAGGAAATTCCAGGAAACTTTCTAGAATGAACAAAGAATATTCCTATTGAATATTGTCAAAAAGTCATTGCGAGCAATGATACAAACAAAATTTCTCGCATCTGTAGGTGACATTTTGTAGCTGTCAGAACATTCGTATGTCCTTTTGTATCAAATTCAGCGATTATCTATTTGCATTTTGGCATTGAGAAATGCCAGCACCATCTCCGATCTTCTCAAGCTTGCCAAAAACACCTATGTGTGAGAAAACAGAAGTCAATGATGCCGATTCTCTGCCCCCTTGGGCCAAAATCACACTTACATCCGCAGAGGCTGAAATCGAAAAGCTGATCTCGCGAAATGAGTTGAAAGACGCAGAGGTAACTTACTTCTGTCAAGTAGAACCAATTCTTCAAGATGGGCCGCAGTGAGTACTGTTTTCATAGATTTTGAAAGTCTTTCAGAAATATTTTAATGTGTAATTCTTCCATTTCAAAAAGAGGAAAAATGTAATTTGTTCTTATTTCTAATTTATATCAATTCTATTTTATATTTATAATACATTTTATATTTATAATACATAATATAATACATTTACATTTAACCAATATTTTTGTACTTTTAGAAATTACAATTTATAATAGTATAATTGTCAAAATTTGAAACGTTTTTTTGTAGGTGTGGTTTAGTCGCGCTTTCAATGGCATCACAAGAATACACAAAACCAGTTTCTGTGAATCAACTTCTCGCTGAAGCTCGTGTACGAGGATTTACACAACATGGAGAAGTGTACAGCGTTGATTTCATGGGAACATTGGCTGCGGAATATTTGCCTGATCACAAACCAGATATTTTAGTAGATTTACAACAATGTCCAGATACGTTGACTCATGCTTTAGCACATGGAGCGATGGTGCTGATACCATATGATTCTGACTTCAACCACGCTCCATGTTTAAAAAAAGGTCATAAAGCACATTGGGCGTTGCTTGTAGGTCTAATCTCTTCCAGGTATAATCTATAATAATTAAGAGATTCTCTTTGTATACATATAAATATGAATTTTAGATTTGATTTGCAAATTTATATGTTAATGTGTTTTTTAAACATTTACTGCATATGAAGGTGAAAATATGTAGATTTTCTATGTCAAATATGCTTTCAATTATGAATTCTTTATGATCAATCTTATGAAAAATCCTATATATATATATTTTTTAAATTGTATTTATTAAATTTTTATTCAAAATTTATTTATATTGCCTTTTTTGCAAACACATAAACCAAAGTAACCTAAATTATGTATTTCTATTGATATTGTTTTTAGACAAGGATACCACGTTCTGGCACGTCACGGTAAATCGCGTCATCTGGCATGTTGGCCTTTACGCGATTTAATTGAAAGTAATGGCAACTTAGAGGAAGAGGGTACAGCGAGACATGCAGGAGGATATGTTATACCAAAGGGTGGCGTCGGAGGTCAAAAGGGCTTACGCGGCAGAGCACTGGCATTACATCCGTACATATAGAATTATGTCAAACAAAATTGTAGGTAATTGATTTCACGCTAAAAGAAGAAAATTTGCCGATATCTTATATCCACAAATGTGCTAAATATTCGAAACATAACATTTGCATACGCACACGGCTTCCATAACGATCAATTAATAATTATGTGTAATATGCGACACTTTAATTAATACACATATTTGAATTCGCGCGAAATATTTTACATAAATGTTAGTCATGATATCTATACCAAAAAGCGGCATCGGCATCGGCATCGATACAATGCAATTTTAAGTGGCATTACTTTCGTTTCATTCTGGAATTTATACGATGTAAATAAGAATTCCGGCAGGCCGAAATATGTGCACGCAAATTATAAATACATACAGACAACTGTTTCTTGATAATATTATATCTTATTAGATTGAAATGCAAAAGTGTACGCATGCATAGTAAGGCAAAAATAAGACACATAAAAATGTTCATATAATTAAATATATATGCATAATGTGTGTGCATGCGTGCGTGTGCGTATGTGTGTTTGTATGTGTGTGTGCGTGTGTGTGTGGGTGTGGACGTGGGCGTGTATGTATGTACTTGTGTGTAGCAAGTTGTTATCGAAAGTGATAATTCAGAAGAGAAGATCTGTAATTATATTTCTTTAGATAGAAAATGTGTAGGTTTTCGGCAACAATTGTGGTTTCAGTCTTATGTTAATGCAATAAATAAAGAGTAAATCTATTATATCAATAATTTTTTGCTAAAATACATTTTAATTATAATAAATAATGCTGTATCATGCTGTATAATGACATGCTTTAGTATACTTTTCAAAACACAAAGGTCATATACAGCGTGTTTGGTTTAAGTTAATTAATAGTTATATATCTCTAATTAGTAGAGATATAAAAAGATATCTTTAGATAAAAAGTTTATACATACATATGTAGAGATTGATAGCAAAATGCAGTATTACATGGTTTTTCGTTATATTGAAAAAGCGCGTTTGACGAAATTTTATTATTTGTTTTTAAGTACATGCTGATGCTTTAATATTTATTTATTATTATATGAGATTTAAGTATATTTTTAAAAATACACATACACATACACGAACGCAAATACACACAGGCACACACAAAATAAAAGACTTAAAAAAATACTCAATGACTGGCTGGTCTTTTCAGTCATATAAATATATATATATATATATATATATATACACAAAAGTATTCCATTTTATATAAAATCTGTCAGTATCATACTCATAATAATGAAACAAATTAAAGAGATGCTATAAATTTGTAGACTTCGTCGTATAGCTTCGAATTAATCAAAAGAAGCCTTTAAAATAAATTCTACCTAAGTGCCGTGAAAAGACCGAAGTCCATTTATAGGAAATACGCACTGCATTAATATACATTGCCCAATTTTTAAGTGCTTCTCCAATTTATCATTGCATTATAATCAAAATACTCTATAAAAATATTCACATGATGACATATATAGACTTTTTTTCTCTGTATTTCACATGCATTCAGACAATACAAATGATTAAAATATAGAGTTTAAAATATAGAGAAGGATGTTTCCTTAACAATTTTGATATCTCTTAAATGTTTGTGTTATTTCGATAGTATTGAAATATCTTCTTTTCCGAGAATTATCAATGTAAGCGCGATATATGTAAAAGTATAAGAAAATAATGTCTTCCGTTACCATCGCGATACAGTCTTCGCATAAATCTTTCGCAAAATGGACAAAAAAGTAAAATATGTAACAACTATATAATTATATGCTTTGAATATAGCATAGTTTACTAAAGATTAATGTATACCTTGATTTTTATGTAAAACTGTTTAAAAATAATTATAAAAATGTCATTTTTTTATTAGTAATTTTAAAAATATAGCCATACTGTATAAAATGCAATATTTATTATTTATAAATACTATATATGATTAATGTTAATGTTATTTATGTTCGTATTTATGTTATTTATTAATAGTCTTTAATTTAAACTAAATTAAAAAAAAAACGAAAAATTTGTATAATTTGTATAAAGCAAAGTGACTGTATCGGATGTAATTGGTGCTATCGAATAAGTGAGAACGATTGCTACTTTTCTCGATCATGTTTTATGAAAAAATTTGATTTCCAAGAGAGCTATGAAATTAATGTGCAACGATTAAACCTAAGAATCTCTGCTTATAGAGTAATAATACATGTATATATCATGTGATACAAAATATACTAAGAAATGTTACGTTTCAAGATTGGAAATGTTGATTGTAAATTAATTATACATGCCAGCAGTGTATTCTTATTTTGTTGTTAATATACCATGTCATTTTCTTTGTATATACATCTTTAATGTCTTCTTTATATTCCTCTCTTATCATATATCTAGTTTTGCTAATATTTAATTGTGATTTATATCAATTTATATATTGATAAATGTCACGTTATTTTTATTTAAACTAGTACACAACAGGCGCGCGATTCGCGCACGCTGCGTATTGAATCCCATAC